CTCAAGTATGTGTCTGTGCATATTCCCATCATACTGCTTGTTCAGGACAGAGATTTCTTTTATCCAAACCATTCTCTGTGTCTCAGGGCAGGAGGACTACGATCGGCTGCGACCTCTTTCTTACCAGAACACAAATGTCGTGTTAATTTGTTACGATGTCATGAACCCCACTAGCTATGACAATGTAGCAGCCAAGGTAAGAGCCTCTCCTAATTGCTTCAGCCTTCTAAATGAATTACAGACGCCTGATGTATGACAAGATGTCAGATTAAAAATGCTGATGCTTTTAATGTCCTGTACCCTGGGTGTGTAGATGCACAGATCACTCACGGTGTGCTGAGCTGCAGGTCACAGACCTTAGACCTGGAGCTCAGCTCTCCACGGCTCAAAAGTGCTCAGAACTGGGGTTGACACACACTAAAAAGATCAAAGAGCAGTGGTGAAATCACTGCTTTATCTGTAGTGATGTCAAACGACCAACAGTGCACATGAGCATTTTAGAGTCAAGTCTACTTCCACCACATGCATATTTAACACAGGAGAGAGATGAGAGCAACCAATTGTCCCTACTGGGATTTCTGTAATGCTTCAAAGCAAAACTTAGTGCTCTTGTACACAGTACCAGCAAAACAAAGCAAGACTTGGTCCAAATTCTGTTTTAAATATGACTTTAGAGGATCTCGTCTGAATTTAAACAGATGTTAAATAAGCATTTTGGCCTAGTGACAGATGCCACTGTGTTTTTATACAGCAGCTGACTTTGCGTAGGACTTGTAAACATTTCTGTAGTGTAAACAGAGCATGTTGAGCCTCCACCACTGGATAAACCACTCCAAAACTCTGAAATTGCAGCTTATGTTAAATGCTGGTTCTGCTCTTCAGCTTTATTGTTTTGATTTCAGGAAACAAAACCAAAGCCAGATGTAAAAGTTTTGTTTCTCTACCACCAGTGGTACCCTGAAGTGAATCACTTCTGCCGAGGGGTCCCGCTCGTGCTCATCGGCTGCAAGACGGACCTTCGGAAGGACAAGGAGCAGCTGCGCAAGCTCAGGGCTTCCAAGCAGGAACCCATCACTTACAACCAGGTAAATGCAGGGCTATTTAAAGGGGTGGCCCCTTAGCAGGAGATAAAGCACACACAGTAGCACTGCTCCTCACGAGGATGATCCCAGGCACTCCAAAATTAGGTGATTGCAGTGTCCAGCTAAAGAAATGACTGGCAGCCAGCACTAACAGGGATTTCTGTAAGTCCTTCTTGGAAGAGGCCAAATCACCATTTTGACTGCAAAAGTAAAGAGAAATAAGAGCATTTTGCATATTGTGGGGTGTCTGAAAGGACACTACTATCTACATATTTTATTCTCATTTCATGTCGTTCTTATTTCCTTTCACAGCTGGGTTATTACTGTTACAAATTTGTAAGCCTTAACAAGTTTGCTGGACTCCCTTCATAATTTTTATTAGCCTACATTGCAGACATCACTGCTGCTTTGATCAGGGTTGGGATAAAGACTGGAGATGGTAGAATACACATTACAAAATTAAATATACTGACTGTTCTGGAATAAATGTGGTTTGCAAACCCTATTTAAAAATAAATCCTTTCAAGGAAAATAGCAAGAACATCTGCAAGGCTTCTCTAACATGAGAGGCTTTTTTGAAGTCTCTAAAGCAATACTAAAATCCCTGCATATTATCAGATGTTTTTAAGTATTTTGAAGCAGTGAGACTAATAACTAATGTTACATCACCAGTATAGCTCTCCTAGGTACAGGAGAAAGTGATGGAACAGCTTGTCCCATGTCACACAAGACCTTTTTGCTCTGGTCTTCCACTTTTTCATTTTTTTTTTTGTTTTTTTGTTTTTTAAAACTACAAAGCCATCCTTCTCCTTTCACCTCAGAGCAGCAGCTTTTGGACTGTTTGAGACACATGTCCAGGGAACAAGGTCAAGAGCACTCCGACCTTGAATGAATCACCACTTTTGCTAAACAGCATGAAAATAAACTGCTACTGCATCACCACAAAACCATGCTGGGCCTTTTAGTTTTGTCTGCCTTGCACACAAGATGAGATCCCACCCTGTCACTGTGAACAGCTGCACACTGTCCCTCATTTGCACGAATAACTCCCTCCACCACCCTCGCACGTGAGGCTCAGGGCAAACAACAGACACTTCTGGCGAGTCTGCTGAGGCTTCATGCAGTTAAATTCAAGGGCCCACCTGATGTACAGACTTTGTCTACTCTGTGAGCCCTCCCACTTGGTTTTTCTCCCCTGAAATATGCACTACCTCAGTCTTTTACAGCTGGTGGCATCTTGAGTCACAGGACATGATGCTTCCAAAGCCAGGCACAGAGGAGCTGAACAGTCTCTGCCAGCACTGCAGCTTGCAAACAACTGGAAGGAGACAAACTGCTTAAATATGAAGAAAATCCCCCCTATAGAAGCCCAAGTGCTCAAGTGACTCCACTCCCAGGGCTTATAATGAATAAATGCACTTTGTGAGTTGTGGGTTGCAGACCTGGAATTCACAGTGAAAGGCTCACAAGCATTCAAACCTGGGAGCTGGCCCTGCACTGACAATAAAAGGATCACAAGCAAAGTAAGAAACTGCTGTGTTTTGTCTACAGTGATTTCACACAGCCAGGATTGCATGGAAATGTTTTAGATTCGAGTCTGTTCCCATTGCATGCATTTGGGTGAGGCTGGGAAACACAGGCTCCCATTTGTGTACATGAGGATTTTGGCTGAGCCCTTGTGATGCTTCAGAGCAAAAGTCAAGGTTCCTGCATGTGCACCAGCAAAACAAGGCAAGGCACCAGTCCAGACTCTGTTCTTGCATGTGACATTCATTACTCAAGGTGACATCACAGAGTAGTTAAGGTCAGGCCTGAAAAAAAATATCGCCATGTAGACATCTTATCCTCACTTAAGTATCTACCTCAGCAATTAGTTTAAAGAAATTCAATACTGAGAATATTTTTGTGCTATCAGGACTCTGCATCTTAAGAGTCTCTAGTGCTCTGAACTCTCGGGCCAGGCTCTGGATCAGCATAGTGGAAAAACCCCAAGTTTATTTACAGTGCTTCAGTATATTACTAATACCACTCACTCTGGCACTGCACTCAGAGGCAGCTGCTTTCTTCCTGACCCTCTGATACAAAGATGTGCAAAATAATTCCCCTTTCTCCCCATTTCACTTTCCTTCTCTCACCCACCAGATTCACATCTTTTCTTACCTTTTTGTTGTTCTTTCCAGGGAGAGGCAGCTTGTCAGGAGATTCACGCAGAGGTTTATCTGGAATGCTCAGCAAAATGCCGGGAAAACATAGAAAATGTTTTTAAAGAAGCAACAACCATTGCACTGAATGCCATGAAAAAAGCCAAGCGCCACAGGAAAAGGAAAGTGTGCTCAGTGTTATGATCTGGACTGCACAAGAGCCAAGTGATTCAGATTTTATAAATAGTTTAACCTTAAAGACCTTTTTTTTTTTTCATTACATGTTTGTATTCCTAGAACAATTTTTATTTTAAAATTTTAATTATTTTTAGTATTTTTGCACTTTTGTTACGTTGTTCTCAAAGTTTTCAAAGCTCTTTGTCACAGTTAACTGATGCTGTGTGCCTTTGCCCATCTGGCTTTTGCTTCTAACTGCAAACAACTCACTATTTAAATTGCAATGAACAGCAACCACTACTGTATGACTTAGTGGCTTTTTTATTTCTCTGCAAAATAATTGTGGCATGTTATAGCTACAATTTGCTGTCCTTTTCAAGCAGAAAAGCTGAAAACCCACATATTTTAGAAGTAGTGATATTTAAAGCAGTTTATCAGGCACCTTTGAAGAGACAGAAATGAAGTTTTGTCTTAACTATAACTGTACATTGTACAGATTTTGTGCAACTTTATCCTCTGTTTGTTACATGAGCAGCTGGTGAAAAATTCTCTTTTGGAGCAAGCCATAATTTTTTATTTTACATGCAGAGTAAAGAGATCTTGATCCTTGAAAAATCTTTTGTTTGTTCTTCTCTCAACTCGCTTTGATTTAATTAAGGCTTGTGAATCCCTACAAGCTTAAAATGGAAAATTAAAAGAAATAATGCACACGTTTGACTATAGAAAAATCTTGAATTGTGTAGCCTTTTCTCCACAAGAAGACATTTGTCAGTAAAAGAAACACAGCCACCCATCACCTTCCCCAGTACAAAACTGAAACACCAACGCACAGGAAGTGACCACATTTACCATCAGCTCCAGTGGAAATCTCTCAGTTTTTAATCTGAGTTTCTCATGCTGCAGAACTCACATTACTCACCCCTGCAAAACCAGCTCCACTGCTCAGATAGAGCAGGTTCCAGCATCACTCTCAAAATAAAGCAATTTACATTTCATAAACTGAGAGTTCAAAGGATTTAAAAACCTCACAGGGTGTGCAAAATTCAACATAACAAGATGCAGCCCAACTGGTGTGAAAGTTGTTGAAAATATTCAAATTGCAATTCACTGCTCATGCCCACAGGCCAGTGACACGGCAAAGGCAATTCTGCTTGTTTGCAGCAACAGCACTGATGGAACCACTTCCATCTGTGCTGTGTCCCTGTTCCCTCATGAACACACTTAGGGGAGGAGGGCACCGTGTTCAGACACTGCCCAAGGATGTGCCAAGTTTGGGCTTTGTGCTGGCTCAGAGGGAACCTTCCCCACCGAGGAAGACACAGCCTAAGGCAGCTCAGTGCTGCAGCTGGCTCAGGATGCACAGACATTACAGCACCCAAACCAAGGGTGTTTTAACAAGCACGTTTAGGTTCAAGCAGCACAAGGAGTTTAGCAGGATGGCAGGCACTGTTTGTCCCATGCCACCCTCCTGAACCAGTGTTTACAAGTGCAGCATCTGAAGAGAGCATTTAATATTTCTGTCCTCCCCTTTCCAGAATGCTGTTTCAAAAACCAACCCAAGGGCAGTGTGTGTGTTACTAAAAAGGGGCTGAAGCAGCTGCATATTGAATGGTTTATTTTAGGTCCTTTCAGGCCTGGACAGATGACTCGGTCTCCCTGGAAAACGGATAACAGACTTCCCTGCCATTTAAAAACCGCTTTTGCTTGCTTGATTTTGTTTTCTAAAGAGAATTTCTCTTCTTTAAACAGCTTTTTAAAAGTGTATATAGCAGCAGTATGGTACAAAGATGAGCACTTTCTTTTCACAGTACACACAGGTTTAGTATTGCCACTGAAAATATGCCTTAAACAAATGCCTTGAAAAACAGCATTCGCTCTGTATTCCTGATCCACCCAGAGTGTTTATAACCCTTTGCAAATTCAATTACCAGAATTTAAATAATAAAACTGGAAAGTGTTAAATATCATTCCAGAATTGGAATTACAGTAGATCCCACATTCCCCCAACGCTGGCGCTTTGCCAGGCAGGTGCATGCTGCTCTATATACAGAAGAAAAAAAAAACCCAGAAGCAAACATGTTTTATATTAAATATACATAAATAGCAGGACTGCAGACTGGAGAGCCATGCTTGAGATAATACTGAGTCTGTGCTGGCAGAGTCCTTTGCCAAACACGGGGACAGACGAGTCCTCCCGAGCCCATCTGTCTGAGCTGGGCTTTAGCAGGATCTGTCCCAAACCCAGCCCTGCTGCAGGCAGAGGGATGCACACTATGAATGGGGGGGTTCACAGCTTCTTCACTTTGTCTTTGTTTTTCTGGAGTTTAGTGTGCACCACCTTGAGAGTAGTGAGGAAGTTCCCGAGGAAGAGCAGCAGGAACGTGAAAGCCAACACAAAAACCTGAGAGGGGAGAAGAAGCTGCATTTACTAGTTTTTACTATTACAAGATGGATTATATTCAACACTGCTGGACTCTACTGGACATAGAACAGGCCCTCTGCTGCATTATGCTGAAATATTTAATTGGGGTCAGATGCCCAAATATCTTTCAAGATGTGGTTAAACACCCCCTCTCCCCCTGCTCCGTGCTTTTTCCGAGCAGAGCCAACACACACCTGCCATTCTTTGCACTCCTTGTGCCTTGACAATCCGAAAAGCGTGATTGCATTATATAGCTGCCAGAACTGCAAAGGGATAAAAAAAAACGCATTTTCATTACTAGCAAAATAAAAATGAAACCCTGGGAACGTTCTTCATGGGTATGTGTGATCCAAAGCACCTTCGTGTGGTGCTGTGACACTGCACCCAGGGGGAGAACGGGACTGCCTGACTTACATGCCCGAAGAACAAGAAGGGAAGGAGAAACGTCAGCCCCCGCCACATCCAGGACTGAAATCCTTCTGGAAAAGGTTGACAGACAGGCAGAGTGTGAGCACAGAAGAGCCAGGACTGGAGCTGCAGCTCTTCCCCACCCAGACCACCCCGTAAGGACTGTTCCTGTCCTGCTCTGCAATAACCAACCAATTTGAAGGTGGGATAATGGAAGGAGGATGAAGATGGGGATGACCAAAACCTCCATCTTGACCCCCTCAAAAGCTGACAGAGATCAGATCCCTCTGCTCCCGACCCACAGGACCTAAGGAGAAGGATAAAAACCTTGCTCTCCTTCCTGCCTTGGGACACAGGCAGCAAGGCAGGGGGGCAGCTCTGCAAAGCTCACTCTCGAAGGCCACACAGCCCTCTCCCTCCCTATCACTGCATCCAAAACCTGTGCCAAAACTGTGCAAAGAAAGTATTGCAGGAAACCTCACCCACTGTAAGGTCCAAGTGGTTTCTCTCCCCCAAAGCCCGGAGCCTATAGAGGCAGCCCCTTTGGTAATAATACTGTAGGAACTGAACACAGCCTGGAGAAGGAAAGAGAAGACATTACTGCTTTGGCTATTCTGAGGTATGATAAGTATCAAATTACTTTAATAATATTTAATCCAAGACCATTTAATTATTGCTTATATTTGTAGACTGCATATTTGCACACTATCTTTATATTCCTACAGTTTAATACTCCAGTATTTACCAAACAGAAGTGTTTTCTTCCAAGCATGTAAAGACACAAAATTACTTTATCCTGTGAATTAGCAAGGTAAGAAATACTCACTCTGAAATATTGAAAATGCTAAAAATTGACTGCGAAACATCTGATACATGAGTCCATCCGGCCTGGAAGCAAAACACAGGGGAGGTCCATTAGTTTGCTAAAAGCAGGTGACATGACACCCTTCCCCTTTACCACCAAGCCTCATCCCATTAGCAAACGAACCAGCAGCTGGTACCCAGCCCATTCCACCCCACTGGGAGCCCAGAGAGGTGCTACAGCCACACAGAAAACACTCTCATTGATTAGGTTTCCCCTCTCCCACATGTATGAAAAATCTTTGCCATTATCCCAGTTTTCTTTAGGCACCAAAGCCATTCAGCATCATCCGCATCGAGAATCCGAGCGGTGGAGAAGGGGGGGGTTGTGCTCATTATCCTGAGGGCAGTTCAGGATAGATGGAGGACAAGGGATCTTCTGCTCCAGCAACTATATCATCCCCTTACAATTTCTAATAATTGAAACAAATTTTAATAATTAACTAATCGGTTCATGCCCAAGATGAGACGGGTTGAATGGGGGCTGTCCATGGGGTGCATCGCTGGGTTGTCTGACACCACTCCCCTGTATTTTTGGCTTTGGACTCTGTAATCAGGGTTTAATAAAGGCACCAAACCTTCATTTTGTGGTGTCCTTCCTCTACAGCAGCAAAGTGCTGTTCATTTCCTTACTAACAGAGATAGAAATTTGGAGCCTTGCAGAGGCTTTGATACCACCACTCCAACTACATTGTAAGGTTTGTGTTTCTTTCTTTCTTTTTTTAAACCAGCAACGTAAATACAAACTTGCAGTGTTGTATTTATCACTGGAAACATCTGTAACATCAAACAAATATTAAGTCTGATGCTCTGCCATGAGCCCATGTGGCCACAGCTTCCCTGTCATGCTGAATTTGAATGCTCAGATGACATAAACACCATGAAACAGGCTTGAAGCACCTCGAGCAGGCGAGAGCAGACTCACCACGTCAACATCACTCCAGACAGGAACGTGGAAACGTAGTGATGGGACACCCACCAGCCTTTGATCCTGAGAAAAAAAACAAACGTGGCAGTTAAGACAAGAAACATGGATTTCAACACCAAAGCCCAGCTTTATGGACAAAAATGATTCCCAACTTGGGAAGGAGGGACAGGGAACAGAACAGTCAGCCCAACTCAAACACAAGGGATGCTGCAGAACACTGTCCTGGCAGTGTGGCTTAGTTGGGAGCACAAATCCATGGCATTGGAGGGAGGCTCAGGACCAGGGCATGTCTCCCATGCTCCCACGGGCTCTGCAGCACATCCAGCAGCAGCAGTCCCTGCAGCAGGAGGCACCTCCATGGCTAATGACACACAAGTGTCAGCCCACACACCCTTTATTTCCCTGCCATGGAAGGAAGTGACGTTTCCAAGGCCTTCCTATGAGGTGGCTGGCTCTCTCAGATACGAGCACTAAAAGGAGCTCAGAAAACAACAGTAAAGTGAGCAAGGGCTGTAGTGGAGCAGAATCAAGAAGGGAGGGGCTGCTCCAGAGCCAAAGCTGCCTTGGAAACTAAGCCAGCATGGGTTGATTTCGGGCATTTGGCCATGGATTGATTTGGGGCGTTTCTGACCAAAAGTGTGTGACCTCTGACACAAAGCAGCACACTTACACCCCAGGCCACACCTACAAACCCCACAGCTACCATAAACATCCAACACTTTGGACCAAGAACTTGGGGACTTCTAGGAACTGTAACTTCTCTCTCCCCAAATTTCAGGTGGCCACATCTGCCCTTGGAAGCAACCAGGGAGGGGGATGGAGACAAGACCCTGCAGAGAGGCATCAGCATCTCATATTTTCTGGGCTTCAGTGCAAAGCTGAATCCTCAGTTGTCTCTTATTTTCTTTTAAGGACATTTCATGCTCTACATGGTTTTTGCAGGTGGCACTGTACCTTGATCCATTGCTAATGAGAATGCTTTCCCGTATCGTCAGCGTGCAGTAATACCACACTAACAGAAAGTTAAACACTTCATCTGTCACCCTGTTAAACAGAAAAAAACACAGAGTTAAAAAAAAAAAAATCCTGTTTGTTATAAAGATACATTTTAAAAAGCCCTATTTTTCCTTCCTCCCCTTGAGTGAATGAAAACCTGCCAAGTGAGGCCACAGACACAAAGCCCCAGTCCTGAACGTCTCTAACCCTCAGGCAGAACTGCACACAGACAGCACTTGAAGAGTTCAGGGCCATTTCCCCCCTGGGAAGTGCCCTGTGATATAACACTGCAGATCCTGAGCTGATAAGCAGGTATGCAGGGATGACATTAAGTCCTTCTGAAGGAGAGAAAGCACCATAGAAGCAGAGGATGATCCAATTTGGAAAGGCATTTCCAGGCTAATTCAGTGAGGAGATTTCCATGAGATCTATATAAATCCAATCAACTAAAAGAACGAAGAGCATTACCCTCTGAAGGGGAAAAAAACAATCCACCAAAACTTTATTTTGCCATTTGCAAACTCCTGAAGCCAAGGGGATTTGGGGGAGTCTCTGTACAGGGCAGCATCATTCCTGGTACAATCCTGCATTCACCCAGACACACAGAGACCTCAGGGAAGTGTCTGGCTCCAACACCTTCCTGGTTTTTAAGCAACACTAAATACTGGAAGCTTGTTGGTGCTCAGACACTTATCACAACCTGGAGATAACATTTCAGGTCTGATTATTTCATGCAAATCCTCTCTCACTGCCTTTGCAAACCCAAAGCTGCAGCACAGTCCCTGCTCTGGGACCGCCCATGTACAAAAGCAACTGCTGGTTCCCGAGCACAGCATCATGCCAGAAAAAAAAAAAAGAAATCAGGAAACATGTTGTTTGACTCCTCTCAGTTACAAAAGACTCCCAAAAGAGTTTAAAAAGGCAAAACAAGTACCTAAAATACAGACCCTGCTAGAGTTGAAGAGGAGCAGAAGGTGTCCTGCTGTCCAACTGCCCAAAGCCTAAACACCACCAGAGCCCATCTCACCATCCTCAACAGGACATAAGTTAGTTCCAATCCAGCACATTTTTATTCAAAATACTTGATTAAAAGTAAAAATGCAGCTTACCTATAGTGCAGAAAAAACCTACAGGCGACAGCCCCAAGTAACAAGATTATTGTCAGATAAAGTTTGAACTTCTCATACTCGTCCTTGTAGGCAAACCTGGAAGGGAACAGACACTGCTTATGGACACAAACGGGTGTTTGACCACAGTGGGGCTTCGCTTTTTTCAAACCAGACACAAATCCACATGCCAAGCCCAGAGACAGAGATTTTGCTGAAACACTTGGAAAAGCAGCAGACTGGTGGAAGGCAGAGTTCTGCCTGCAGGGAGGGCCTGTCTCTGCTGCAAGACAATGGCTTAACTCCACCAGCTGGTTTCTGGGTTGGCACGATAAGATTTAAAACATATAAATCTCCATTTTCTGCAGCACTGTATGCCTGAAGTCACAATACTATTTTTCATTGCAAAAAGACCCCACCCTTACAATTAGACCACAGGCTGGGCTGGGCTTAAAAGCAAGTGATGGACAAATTCAATTGTAGCTACATGAAGCCTTAGCTTGTTCCCATGTCATGGTCCAACTTGCCCACCCCTGACATTTCACTCATCAGATCTGAGAGAAACCCATTCCCCTCTCTGGACTTTAGTGCAGACCCACAGCTGGCCCCAAATCACACGTGTGGGAACACTCACTCACTTTGCTTGGTTACTCAGGAGGGTTACATTCACGTTTCCCAGCACCAGATTCAAGTACAGGCTGAAAGACAAAAACCAAGAGCAGACCCAAGTAAGTTGTTTTATTTGAACATCACAGGATGACCCAGATTGAGTTGATGAGACAATGTCTCTGCCAAAGCCACGTTTGCTGGAGGTTTTTAATTAAGCCAAACTGGAGGGATGGACCACAGAAGAGGATGTAAACGTGGAAAGATTGGTCAGCATTTCCAAGAAGTTAAAGAAGAGGTTTATTCTCCCGGTCCCTTTTCTGCACTACAGTCTAAGGATGAGATATGTAACATGCACTCTCCAAATCCAAAAATAACAGGGAGGAATTGGAAGAAAAGTTTCTGATAGAAACTTCTGAGGGGCTGCAGCATCACATAGTGCTTGACAATTGTCACAAATCTGTCCTGACAACCCCCCCAAAGGAGAGTATAAATTCAAAGTTGGTTGAAAATGTTATTTAAAAAAAAAAAACAAAAAACAAAGAGAAAATTCTTATGCTGATTCAATCCTTAAAAAAATTAGTATGGAAAAATATCAGTATGGAACAGTGAACTGCACAATCCCTCACCAATGCAGGTTACTTTCATCTTAAGAGAAAACCTGCACTGCCCACACACACAGTGCATTTACATACACTCACAGCTCATGAATTCTGTGTACCACTGACACAGCAGCTCAGCAAGAGATTTATGACTAATCCAATTTCACATGTCTGTCTTCAACGTGCACCTTATCCTTCAGGAACAAACCGCTGAGAATACTTGAAAAATCAGCCTTCCTGGAGCGTGTGCCTCCCCAGGGAGCACGTACCCGTTCTTCTTTGGCAGGTAGGCTTCCATGTCAAAGAAGGCATTCTGCCTCTCCTTGATCTGGCTGCTGATCTCCTGAATGAGAGCAAACTCCTCAGGACTCGCTCTGGGCTTGCACCTGCAAGAGCACAGAAACAAGATATTCCTGTTCACGTTTTCACCTCCTTTTTATTTAAAGGGAAAATAATGTTGTCATAAAATCCACGCTGTTAAAAAGCTGACTGTGTGAGGTGATGCCATAGCCCACTTTGCTCCTGTATTTCTGCAGCACCATTTGGTTCACCACTTTATTTCACTGCCAGGTTTATGCTACTGTAAGTTACTTCAACCAGCTGGTTTATAAATCAGCTTCCCTTTTCATCAGCTCAGTGACAGGACTGTGTGCTCTTCCCTAACAGAGCACTTTGGGAATTTTGTGCTTTTTTGCAGGAACTCATTCCACCTTGGGAACTCTGTGTGTGGTTTCACACACTGCCCTTGCCGAGGCTGCAGCTCTTCAGGTATGAAATACTGCAGGATGTAACAGGACACAGAGCTGATGATTTACTGGCAAACTGTGGTTTTAGCAATTAATGTAAAACAGAGAGCAATGTGCAGCAGAGCCAGCAGCCCGGGGTGTTGGAGGCGCTGTACTGAGACCTGCACACCAGGAATTCAGCCTGTGGCTCCTGGGGATCAGCCAAGCAGCCAGAGACAGCTCCCTCCTGTAGATCCACCCAGGGGTAAGTTACACCTCCAGGTTTGAGGATTGGTGTTGCTCCTACAGTTGCAGCCTATGGAGCAAAGCTTTGCTCACCTGGCAAAACCCACAGACCAAGAGCTGCAGGGACACACTGCAAGGATGAAACCCACACTGGCTCCCTCAAAATCCTTTGTTTGCAGGACTCCATCTCTCATACAGTTATTAACGTTTTACCTGGCTATAATATGGAGCAACTTTAGCACGGCAGCTGTACATTAACTGTACATTAACTGCAGACTGTACATTAAAATGCTAAAAATCCAACCATTTGAGCTCTTTGGGAAGGAGAAACATCCCATCCCTGCCTCCTCCACCCTCCAAGTCTCCCATTACCGTTGCAGGCTGTGCTTCAGATCCCTTAGTGTCTTCTTCTGCCTCTGTATGGAGCTGCTGCAGGCTGTCTGCAAGCTGGTGACTTCTTCCAGTTTCTGCCTGTAAACTTTGTGTGTTTCCTGCAGGAGAAGAGGAGACAGTTGGTAGGAAGAGCCCTTCTAGGTTACTCGTGGCATTTGGTCCTCCCCTCCAAGGGAAGGAAGCAAACCCCTGGTTTTTGGGAGTCAACAGGCACCCCTGCAAACAAGCAAGGAGGGGGTGATGCCAACCAGCATAGATCCAACAGGGCTTAAATGGACACTGATGAAAGTCCTGCAAGAGGAAAAGCATCCTCTCTACACTCATCTAATTTCCTCTTTCTAATGAGCTTTCCCACTCAGGAGCTCCTCACTCCAGTCCCACCCTGCAATGAAGCCCCTAATCCTTGAATCTCCTAATCCTCCAATCTCCTAATCCTCCATTTGATCCTGATCCATCTCCATCAAATGGGTGGCTAAATCACAGAGCAGGCACTCCAATTTCACAGCCAGATTAAATCTGGAGGGAAAAAGATGATGTGGACCTAAAGGGGAGGGGAAAAAAGATACAAATTCAGGCCAGGGGGTTTAGGCACCTCCTGGCCACCACTGCCATCCTGACCCTATGGATGTTCAAGCAACCTACTGCCCCATACTCTGGCTTAAGAGGTCTCAGGAAGGGTTCACCAGGCACCAAGCAATGACCTCTGGGCCAACTGTAAGATCTGTAATGACTTAGAAATCAGAGTTTGCAGAGTTAGTGCCAAGAGACAGCGTAGGTAACATGGCTGTTGGCACGGCTGCTTCATCTGCCAACACTTCAGTGACTACAGAAAATTCCCACTGCTTTTCCCAGAGCATAAACATGGTGGTAAAACCACACAAACCAAATCTTTGCTCTCCTTTGTCAGGATCCAGCTGGTAAATGTTATTTACAAGAACAAACCAAAACAAGCTCCAGTATCCAATTTAAAGACCTTAATAACCAAACTAACCATGTCCAGGCACTGCAGCTCTCATCGTTTCTGAATCACTTTGGCTTTGCTTGGCATGGGCAGGACTTCAGGGCTCCCTGGATTGCAGAGTAACTCATCTTGCTTCTCTAGATGTCACGCAACAACATCTTATAAAAGGCTGATTCAAAGGGCGTAAAAAGCTCTTTGCCAAAAAAGGGTTCATGTATTTATTGAAAACACAAATAGGCGAGTTGAGAGCTGGTAAATTTTACCCCCAGCCAAAAACATCAGGATAATGGTTTGAAAATGACACTGTTGTTTAGAAGAACATAACATTTGCTACAAGTGGGGTTATTTATTTGCCAAGAGAGACCAGTGCTTACAAGGAGACTCACTGACAGCAGGGTCTTAATCCAAATCTTGTGACATGTTCATTCTCAGGGTTTAAATTAATAAACTGTTGCAGAGCAACTTGCATTTTTTCCCACATCCCTGCCCCAAAACTGAAACACCCCACAACCCTGAGCTCTGTCTCAGAGATGAGGCACTGCCCTGGCAACCCAAACAACAAAGTGGCTGGTTAGAAGAGCTTTGCAAACCTAAATGTCCCCAAGCCCATCCCATGAGTCCCCACTGCCCCAGGGGGATGCTCAGTGCTGCTGTACAGCAGCACCAGCCCCTCCAAAGCCCCCCACGCCCAAATACAAGTGCAGCCCCCAGTGCCCTGTGCCAGCCAGCGTGGCAGGGCAGGAGCTACAACCAGAGTCCAAGATGCAGCCCCTGACCCAGAACTTACAACACAACTATAAAATACGAGATGAGGCAGGAGTGCAAAAGAAACACAGATCATTTTGCCCCATGGGGATCAGCAGTGCTCCCAACACACCAAAAAAATCCGAGCACCAAAATTTATTTTCCCTGCTGGCATTGCAAGGGAGACCATTTTAGTGGGGGTGACCAGAGTACCTTGGGAAATACCCACAGAGAGCTCCTTCAAGCCATGAAGAGCAGTTCCTGCGTGGTCCTGGACCAGCATTTCCAGCTGGAGATGAGAGTCAGGGCAGCCAAAAAGGGTGCTGACAGGAGGAGATGCAGGCATGGAGGGGGGTCAAGCTGCTGCTGGGGAAAACAGGCTCCTCAAGAGCAAGAGATGCTGCAAGTGCATCCAGAAATCCACAAGCAAGGGCAAGTATGAGCGGACACCCAGATGGAAGTACTTTCTTACTCTAGAATTGGGGTTTGACTTGAAGCCGGTTCAGGGGTACAGGACCTTTCTCCAAAGCACATTTAAGCACCACCAGCATCTCGTGGAGCTGGAGCAGAGCCATGACCTCTCTGTTCCCCTCTTCTGCAACACGTAAGAACTCCCTGATCGTGGATGTTATTCCAACTTTTCACCTCTACAGTGCTAATCACTGGCCAACTACACCTCCACCAGCAGCTTCCACTCCACTGATTACACTTTCCTTTCATGGGTGGGGAAACTGAGGCAGGGACAAGTTATTGACATTTTGCTGTGGTTTAGGTCAGACTCAGGTGCTTGTTGAAGACAGTCAGCACACACAGCAAACAAGTGACCAACAAAACCACACCAGCTGGTCTATCCCAGCACCCAGCCTCTCCTTCTGCTAACAGACATGCAACCTGAACTGACTTTTAATTAAGACAATGAGCTAAATCTGGAAATCACACTTTTTTTCTTGTGTGCACGTTCTGTTTAACAGCCTAAAAGAGGCTAAAACAGCCTCTGGAGTGAGAACAGCCGGTCGTACTTTAAAACAGGCTTTAAGATTTAAAGCACGTGTGTAGGTGCAGCACTGATGACATGCAGGGAGAGGAAAGCTTCTGGAGGTAACAGCATCTTGCAGAACAGCTCTTGGCCCCTGCTCTGAGGCCTCTCTGTCCCTCAGTGCACCTTTGAGAGATGGAGAACCAGCACTTGAAGCCCTTGTACCCCATCACGGGAAATCAAACTATGCAGAGATGCTGGCAGGGCAAGCGCTGCCTCCGCTGTTCTTTGTGCCGTGCCATGGGTGCACGGCCACCCCAGGTCCCCCTTTTCCATCCTTGCTCCGGCAGTGGGAAATGCGGCATCACGACCCTTCGGTGCATCCCCAGAGGTAGCTGGGGCATCGCCATGGTTCGGTCCGGATGTCCCAGGTGTATTCGTAGTACCTGCCTGGGGTACCGGGTGTTTGTGCCCCGCACGGATGCGCATCCCCGCAGCGCTGGGCATCCCGCGGGCACCCCGCGGCCAAGCCCCGAGCACGCGTGGCCGCCCCGGGCGGGGCAGGGGCGACCCTGTGGGGCTGCCCCGGGGCCGGGGGTGCGGGGGGACCCCCAGCCCCGCTCCTGCCGGGCCCCCTGCCAGCCTGGGCGCGGGGGGAGAGCCGGGGCCGGCCCCGCGACAGGATGCGGAGCAGAGCCGGGGAAGGGCAGTGCGGGAGAAGCCGCAGACGCGCGGCCGGGCGAGGCATCGCGATGTCCCGCATCTCCCCGCCCGGCAGCCCTGCCCCGCATCTCCCCGCCCGGGAGCCGTGCCCCGCCGCGCCCCGCTCACCTGGAGCTGCCGGAACTCCTCCTCCAGCTCCCGCCACTCTTCCCGGCCCCGCTCCAGCTGGTCCCTCATGGCGCGGGGCCGCGCCAGCTCCCCCGGCCCCCGCCGGCGCGCGCCCCCCGGCCCGCGGGCCGCGTGCGCCGCTGACGTCATCGCGCGCGGTCACGGGCGCGGCCCCGCGGCGGCGCGCGCCACCCGCCGCCCCGCCCCCACCCCCGCGCACCCGCCCCAGGGGAGGGAACCGGCAGGTGAGGGATCGGCCCCCCCGAACCGGGATCCCCCAGGAGAGGGCTCCCGTCTGGCCAGGGGTCTCCTCAGGGGGAGGCTTCCCTCAGGCCCGTGCTCCCCTCAGGTGAGGGCAGCCCTCAGGTGAGGGCTCTCCTCAGCTGAGTGATCCCTCCCTCAAGGGAGGGATTCCCTCAATGAGGGACTCCTTAGGTGAGGGTCCCCCTCAGGCCCATGCTCCCCTCAGGTGAGGGCTCCCCTCAGCTGAGTGATCTCTCAAGGGAGGGATCCCCTCAATGAGGGACTCCTTAGGTGAGGTTTCCCCTCAGGCCCATGCTCCCCTCAGGTGAGGGCTCCCCTCAGTTGCTGCCACCTGTCCTCCCCGGTCACCTCCTGGGGACCCTGTGCCTCTCCCAGGTCCTCTCATGTTGTGGTAGCACCTGAAGTGCTCCATGAAGCATCTTCCTTCCCCTTCCTTCCCCTTAAGGGTGGGTTGTCACACATGGGGCTGAGAATGGAGACAAAACCCTTCCCGCACAGGGACAGCCCTCTCTGAAGGACCTGCTGGCTGAGGTTACCGCGCACCTGAGCTGAGGCCGCCCAGCCCTGCAGCTGCCTGGGGCCTGGGCCTGGGTCCTTAATATCAGAGAAAAGGGCAAGAATATTTGTGATCTCCTTATTATTACAATAATAACCCACTTAGGGGCTGGGCTGGCCAACTGGGAGCAGGGCACAGTGGCCTCTGGGCACAGCCCTGCTCCAGGGAGCTGCTGATGAGTGGAATGTGGAGCCCCCCAGGGCAGGGGGTGAGGCCTGGGAGATGTCAGCACTGTGCTTCTTGTCTGTTGTGAAAGGGTGGAAATAGGCAAAGAGGAAGAAAAAGGGAAGGGGAAGGAAGCAATTAAATAAAAATGATACAAGGGGGAGGGGAGGAGTGAAGCCAAAGTAAAAATGCAAGTGCAATGCTGTCTTTTCATGGGGAGGGTATGTGGGATCCTGTTTCCTTGGATTTGGCATAAACAACCAAAAACATTGGGTGTAGAGACACTCCTCAGTATTCGTGCTGTCCCTGGTCCTTCTCTAGGTCTATATTCACACTCTTTGCTTGGTTTATGTCCTTTTTGCGTGTTCTTTTCATACGTGTGGGTAGGCACCTGAAATGCAGTCCATGACCTGTTCCCTGGTTTCCGGAGAAACCTGCTCAGAGCTTGCAGTGGTTGGGGATTTCTGCTGGTTTAGGAACCACCAAGCCCGGGGATGTTCCATTGTCCCTGCTGCTCTCCGGTGAGGCCGTGATCATCCAGGGATCAAACACGTCTGTTGTGGCAGGCCGTGATAATCCTGAAGTCGAATAAACAACTGATCAATGCAGTAAAAATGTCACAGGAGTTTGCTATGCCTGCATTAAATTTTCCCCAGATTCTAGCATTTGTCCACAATCCCGTGTAACAAGACTTTATGTTACAGGAAGCCTGGATTTTGGATTACACGGTTTGGAAGGAAAAGGATCACATCTCAGATCACAGCTTTGATTCTGCGCTGGATATGTGACAAAACTTTCCAGTTCACCTCAAGGTTAGAGTACTCCCTACCAGCAAAATTATTTCTCCTTCCCTCATGGAAATATTCCCTCCTCCTTTGCAGTTACTCTGTCAGTTCAGTTTATCACAGAGTCACCCCAAAGATGTAGCTGCCTCTTACTCCTGGCTGTCGAGGGGGAATTGGGGTGCTGACACCCTCATGAAGAGCTGGGGGAATCCAGACTGGACCTTATTTTCTTTAGGTAAAACCATTTAAGTAGAAACACTTCAACTGCTTGTGTCAGTCCTAACATTCAGGGAAAGTTACTTCTGGAATACATCATAAATTGTAAATAACCCTTAAAACTCTGCCTTTCACTGCTGAGCTATAAGCCTCAAAAGGGCTGAAGAAAGCCCTTAATATCAATCATGAATACTTGCCCTGGGTGTAATTCTGCAGCCTGATGACATTTCTTTAGGGCTGTGGCAGGTGCTGTGAGTACAAAGGCAGGAAATGTTGAGCATTTCTCACTCAGAGCTGTGCTGGCCCTGGAGCTCTACAGGAACACCAAGGGATCACCAGACCTTTATTCCAAACTTTCCTGCCTCTCCCCTACACCTCTGGTCAAGGAGCAGTTCTTATGCATGTTGTGGCTGTGTACAATTATAACCTCAAAAGATTTCCTTCAATTTTTTAACTAAGACATGCCAGTTAATATTCATTCAAGAGATGGTATTTTCTTTAACACAGAAAACATGAAAGAATTTCAATAAACACCAACAATGTGAATGTAGCACAGTTGACCTTACAGCTGGTTCTACATTATTTAATGCTGCACCATTAGGAAAGATTTCAGAATTACCTGTAATCTCTCTCCACTTCCTGGGAGATTGTAGCTGTTTGTTTAATCTCATTATTTCAATCACATCTTTGTGAGTAAAACCAAAGCAAGATAAGATAACAATGAGGGTTTTTTAACTGGATCTAGATAATTTGTTTATTATAGTGTATATAATTTTACTTAGTAAGAATGGAAACTACAGACTGTAATTAAATTGCAGACCTAAATCAGATCTTCCCAATCCCAAGGCTGGGGACACAGGGAAGGGATGCTGGAAGGGCAGCAGGAGTTATGTCTGATCAGGCTGTGCTGGACAATGTCCCTCTCTGCCTACAGGAGCAACTCCTGCAGAAAAGCCATTTTAAAAAGTTCAGTCTTTGGGCATTACATTTCCTATCTGAATTAAATGTTTATTTTGGGGAAAAAAATAGTTAAAATTCTCCGCTTATGGAAAGACAGGAACAATAGAGTCTGAGGTTTCATTTTCTATCTGACTAAAATGCACCCCTAAATATCTGCACCCATTGCACTCAGTGGGCAATCAAAGACCTTATTTGACTATTATGGAAGTGCAGCTGGATAAAGGATTTAGAGAGAGAATTTTAAGGGCCCAGAAGAGCCCTGGCAGCTTCCCACCCCTCAGCCCTGGATGGGGAGCAGGGCTCTGTGCAGGCAGTGCTTGGGGTTCCCATACCTCACCTGTCGTTCAGTTGTGACAACACATGAGGAATGGTGCCTTTCCTCTGAATTTGAATATTTTATGATCGTTTTTCTAGGTATCTTGACATTTTTTAGTGGCTGTTTTCTGCTGCCAGAGATCATGTAAGGCCATTGCACAGCAGATCTACAGACATGAAATCTCTGCTTTGCCTTTACCTTAATTAATCCCCGACTCATCAACTGTTCACTGCCAGAGAACATATCAAAGAAATTGAGTTAATAAATCAAGTTAAGGATCACAGTGAAACTGTGACTGTTTGTTTTTTGGTGTTAGATTTTGTTGAGTGCAAGTAGTTATATATGTACGGTCACATGTGAGCTCCTTCCCCTCACCTTCCTCCGCCCTGAACGCAAATTCCATTCATTCTTTTCTCTTAAGATAACTGAGGCTGTTTCCTTTGATGCTTTTCCCCTGTCCTAGAAATACAATTCTTTCCAGCACAGCAAATGGGAAAGGACAAAATATAAATGCAGATGAGTCCCTATTCTACCATCAGGTGACAATAAGCCGTGATAAATAAAATACTTGGCTCATGTTTCAGCTGGAAATTGATACTGTTGATTCATCTTGTATTCATCTGGAGTTATTTCTCAGTTAGGGAACAAATTAAGGACTTCAAGGGAAGCAGTAGCTCAAGGATGGCCAGATTTATCTGCCTCCAACAGTACTGAGAGTCCTGCAAACTGCTCCACAGTCACATAGTAAATAATTATCAGCTCTGGGTGACTTCACTAATTAACATCATAACTCTACCTTTGAACCTCTGTCTTATTGCAGGTAGTTAAGTAGCGACCATTAGCTGTAAATCTGCAGCAACAGAAACTCATGGGGAGAGGGTATCTGGTGTCAGCTCCAAGGACTTCAACCTTTCACTTTGCATGACTATCTACGTGCTCCAACATTCCAGATAACCCAGGGCTCTTACTTCGGGTTGTTTTGATGTAAAACCAACATGGTTTTTATCTTGAGAGAGCTTCTCCCAGCAAAAGGGAGGGAAGAGCTGTAAAGAAACGCTTTCCCACAAGGCTGCCTCTTAAGCCAGAGTCAATCAGTGAAGTTTGCACCTCAAACCTTTCACTTCAGTCCCTCCTAAATCCTGCTGATAACAATTCTTAAAAGCAGAGTGGTGGGGAAGCTCCTTCAGCACTGCACCCACTCCCTGCTCATCCGGCTACACCCGACACAAGCTTGGTTGGAGTCCAAGACCCTCCCACCTCTTCCTCTGGCTTTTCTTTTGAATATAGCAGCAATAAAACACACATCTGAGCATCCTACTTCCACAGTATGTTGTTGTCACATTCTTCACCTTTAAAGAATTCCAACATATGTTTCTCTACATGCTTTTTCTTTATTTATTCTACGAAGTTCCCAGAATAAATTTAAATTATTGATTCTGACAGTTTTCAGTTGGTTTGGGCATTTCACTTGGGTGATTCCCCAAGCTTTGTGAGAGCAAACTCAGCTCAGAGCAGCTGTCTCCTTTCAGTGCAAGAATGATTGGTTTCAGATGTAGAATACTGAGGGCCTTTAGTTTTATTGTTTGGGTTTTTTTTTAATCTTACTCTTTAGAATGAAAAAAATGAAGGTGTCACAGGGTCTTGCTCCAGAAAGGTGTGTTTCCAGGCATGTTTCCACACACATCCTTCCAGTGTTTGGTTTGTTCTTCACTGTATCCATCCTGGAAGGAAGTGGAGAACTGAAAGTCCATTGCAACGAACTGTGTTGGCATCAATGGGCTGAATTAGAGCATAATTTACATGGATGGATTTAACAGCTTCCTTTCAATCTTAATAAATGTAAGGTTTATTCAACTGCCAGACAACTGGAGCAACAACAGTGCCTACAAGTAACAGAACTGAAGCCCTGTCACACCCCTGTGAAGGAGGCTTTGCTGGTGCTCTTGGTGTCAGTGACCAAAGTCTGTGAGAGTGAAACTAGAAAAAAAACAATGCACACACACACAGAAAAACCCCCAGCCAAGAAGGGCCAAATTTTGCTGGAAAAGCCAGAACAAGGAGAATTGGATGAAGGAAAACCCAAATTATCCTCCTAGCACTTTATAACTTGGATTTTGACCCTGTTTATCATAGTGGCTACAACATTGTGCCTTGAAACGACTGCTCTTGGGAGAGGAAGAGGTTTGGTTAGGGCATTTCTGGAGCAGTTTAGATTTATATCTCACTCTCTAACTGAATTATATATTCTAGATATCTGGCACCCCTCATGAAAACTGTGCCCACTTCCTACTTACTAGCAGGGTTCCTGCTCTCATAATGGAATGACATTTTCTAAGTCAAATGTTCAGTGAGTCAAAAGAATGTTCTGATAAAGCTTCAAATATCACCACCTTCTCTTCAAGCTGGTCTAATTTTGCCTTTTTTTTATGAGGAGAATACCCTTACATTTCCCCTTTCTGTATCCTTGTACAGAATTATATTAACAAGTGACAAAATAATTAAGTATGATTCAGATGTTCCTACCTGGACTAAGAAAATGGGAATCACGCACAGCCTCTTCCCAGATAAATGTCTCTGTGAAGCCTCCTTGGTGGGAGCAGGAGGGTCTGTGATAACCCACTCTGGGACCATGGAACTAAAATAACAAACACACAGAGACCTGGAGCAGAAGGATTTAAAATAAGTGACCCAGAAATTGAGGCATCACCAACCATTTCCCTCCATCATATCCAGATACAGAGGTTTTCTCAGAGGCAATTTTTGATCTCGATTTGTGCATTTTGATTTGTTGCTAAAATATTTTAATTTTTTTAAAGCCTTTATTGGTTTCAAATGTATATTGAGTTTCAAATATTTATATCACTTCTGGTTAGTAAAAGCTGTGGTTAAGTGAGGCGCAGTTTGGACTTGCAGTTCAAAAACCTCAGGCAGCCTGTGCTGTTTAAAAATAAACAAGTGAAATTGTCTGAATTAGCTAATTATCTTAATTGACAATTTCTCAGTTAAGTGCAGTGAAATATAGGGGCTGAAATATGAAAAATAATTAATACTTTTCCAAGAAGAGCTACTTTTGGTTGTAATTTAAGGCTGTAGCTTTTGGGCTGCAATAAGCAATTTTTCTTCTCCCTCATGGGTTTTTCTCATTTCCTCCCCAAATCCCTGTTTCCCACTCCAGCCCTCACAACTGGCCACAGTCAAACACAGGAATGATTGTCTTCAGTAATTCTTGGGCTCTGCCCCAGACCAGAATATGTTAATGTGAACGAGTGGCAATAAGTCCTTCCTGAATATCTTCATCTCATTTTTAAAACCAGGAAACATTTTTTCATGTATAAGCATTTCCTAACTTGGTCAACTTCCATAGTTTTCTTTCTGGTTCTCCTGCTTTAAGAAGTCTGTGAGTTCCACCTCTCCTACATCCCTGGATGGCAGCTGCCATCTTTCCAATTCATCTAATCCAGCACCAGAAATTCCATGTTTGTCTTTTCCTGTGGTACAGATCTCCCTCCATCATTTCCACACCGGCTCCTTTGTTGGCTATGGAGCATCTCTTCCCTCCAGCCACTTCATTTTCCTTGTCCACTTGATTTCCCAGGCAGTGGCGTTGTCTCCTCTGGCTCCATGGCCCTCACGTGTGTCATGGGAAATGGAATATTTGCCTTCAGTCACAGTCACATTTGGGATAAGTCCATTCCTCTGTCCTCTTTCAGCATGGACACACCATTTAAGCCACATTCAATGCTACATTCAGTGAACAAACACCCATCAGGGAAGACCAGGCTGTGTCCCACCTCCACAGAGGCGGCTGCTTTGTTTTCATCACAAGATTTCCCACCTGCCTCAACATTTTAACCATCCAGCCTGCAGAGCTGTGCACGGAAAATGTGGCAAAAGGATGAGAATCAAATGCATTTGGCTCACGGGAGTCATAGGAGACCTTTGGTTTTATACTAGAAATGTGCACGGTTAATTACCCATTAGGGAAGATTATTACAGACACTCACAAGGCCATAATGGCAATTCCTGCTCACTGTGGCTGTGGAAGAAATGTAATGGATGAGGGAATTAGTGTCAGGTTTATTCAGATTTCTCCTTCAAGACCTCTGATGTGCATTTTCAGGGGGTTTCTCCTTTCCTCTGACATTTTCAAGGCTGATTTATTTGTTACCCATCAGTGCTGTAATCAGTGCTCTCATTTCCAGCCTTCTGCTGCTGGGTGCGTGAAAAAACAACCAGAAGTGAAACACTCGTTGCTTATCAGCACTTTATATCCCGAACTCAAGACACGTAGCTCCAGAGCGCGGGGTGTGCTCCGGCCCCATCCGTGGGGAGCACAGTGTGACCACTCGTGTCCCACCGCCCTGCCCGTCCGCCCGGAGCGGCTCCGCTCGCTCCCGGCCCTGCTCCCACGGCCCTTGGCGCAGGAGTTTGGCACGTTGCTATGACGACCCCGCCGCTGCAACAGGCAGCGCCCGGCGGGCACCAGCACAGGTCGGTGCCCGGGGTTTGGCCCTCGGGGCGGGGGCGGCGGGACAGCGTGGGCCGAACGCGAGGGTGCTTTGCGAACGGCGCACAGGGGCTGTCCCCCCGGTCCGCTCCCACCGCTGCCGCGGAGCCCGGCTCTCGCTGGGCGGGAGCAGCGACAGGCGCCCTGGGCATTCCGCTCGCAGGCACCGCCGCGGGGGCGAGCAGCGGCTGGGGTGGCTCCGCTGCGCCGGAGGGAGCTGGCAAAGGGACCCCGGTGCAGGGCAGCGCCGTGGGGCCGGGTCACTGCGAGGGCTGAGCTCAGTCGCGACATGCTCGGGGCCGGGTGACAGGCAGGGTGCACGAGGGGACACGGTGCGGTGGCAGGCAGGGTGCTGCCAGGGACAGTCAGCAACCCCTTCTCTGCAGCAAGATGTGTTTCCCTCTTGCTATTCGTTAAGATGTAAGGCAGAAAAAAAAAAAAAGGTGTATTTGTAGCTCAATCGCACTGCTCTAAAGTTCTGCAAAGAGCCAAGGGAAAAAATGGGCTTCCTGTAGGGCCATGCAAACTAAAGCTGCGTTTTACCAGAGACCAGACAAAACTCGCAGAGCAGCGTCTGGAGGAGGTCGCGGGGTCTGTAAGAGCCTCGGCCCCAAGCGCAGCGGCGGAGGCAGAACCGCTGGCCCTCGACACCGAGAGCTGCAGCCGGAGCGGCTCTGCAGCGCCTGCCTCTCGCTGTCTCCCCGCGCCCTTGAAGTAGGTGGCTAAAACATCCAGGGCGGCGAATACCGACTGCGTTATCACTTACGCAAACTTGGCATCGCTGACGTAAATTTGGAAGGGGATTCAACAAATAGAGGCGGGTCCCGACAGACCGCATTACCCCGGGTGCTCTGCGCAGGCTGTGACTCGGAGAGCCTGGCGAGCAGATGGAGGGGTGCTGGGACTGCCCCCGCAGCTGGGAATCCTCCCTGGAGTCTGTAAATCCTAAGCTTTGAGTTGAAGAAGTGGTCGGATGCGGTGGTGGGAGAGTGATGCTCCCATCTGGCAGGGGTAGTGAAAAGATTTCTCGTCAGGGCCGGTGTCGGGGTGGGTGCAAGTAGCTGTAGCTTGGCTCTTCTCCCCCAGCCAGAGGACAGACGCAAACAGGCAATGTGTGGCTCTGTGTCCTGCAAACTCTCAGACCTTGGCAAATACCGCCAAGAACCCCCCTCTCCAGGGGCTGCAGCACCCAAAGGCGAGGGAGGAACTCAGCAGTTGAGGTGTCTTCTGTGTTTATATTGCTGAAATACCATCCTCTGCAGCGGGCTGTGACTCCATCGCACCGAGTGACAGATCCTGTCCTCGGTGTCCTCAAACCAAGACGCTCTTCAGCCCCTCTCCTCCCACGGCAGCCTGGTTGGAATCTTTACCCCTCCCAGGTCTGAGCTCACCGTGCAGTGCCCCGGCAGGTTCCGCAGCCCTGCCTGCACTCCCCACAGCCCCCCGGTAAGGAGCCATGTGGGATGGGCACTGCACAACTCAGCTGCATTTTGGGTAGGAAGGCTCATCCTGGACATATAAAGTACTTTCTTCAGCAATGACATCCCCCCAAATAGCTGTCGAATGACCATTTCTCACAGCTGTGTGGAGAACCGAGGATGAACGCTAATGTATTTTCTTAGTTATAATTTCTATTTTTTATTCCCTAGCAAGGACCTGAAGTACCTTCCTTTCCGCTCTCCTCCCGGGTTCCACACTTTTCCCCATGCCAGGCTCCCCGGCACCCCAAGCACAGCAGGAACCAGAGCTCTGCTCTGCCGAGAAGGGAGAGACGCAGCGAAATCACTCCATATGGCTCAGTCCAGTGGATCAGGACAGAAGGGGGAGCCCAGGAGACAAACTCGGAGAGCATCCCAACCCGCCGGGCTCCAGCCGAGCTCTGGATGTTGACGGCATTCATAGAAACTTGCTTTTGTTTCTACAGCCACCTTTTGGCGTTTGTTTATGGTTTATAGGAGACCACTCTCACCTCCGAGTCTGTGCCGGAATTCCCACTGCGCTGAACAGTGCCCAGAAATCACCACCGTGCTGCACTCCACCATTCTCCTCTCTGTATTGATGGGCCAAGACATCTTCTCCCTCCTCTTCCCCCATGCTGACCCTTTCCCTCTGGACCTCTGACACCTGAATCACCTCCCTCTGTACCCATCATCCCCTGCCTGCTGTTCATGCTTTAACCCCATGCCACCTCAGAAGTCCCCTCCTTGGCAGCTGGATCAGCTGGCGAGTGCCCAGCCTGCCCTGAGCGAGTCTGCAGCCTCCTGGGAGACAGAAACATTGTGGTTTCAACTCCTTTTAACAGACACCTGCAGGACAATTATTTCTAGCAGTAAAGGAGCCTGAGCTGCATTACTGCTGTGGGTATGAAGTGTCCCAGCTCCAGGTGGGCCTCAGGAACACTGGACAACTCCCTGACCCATTCCACTGATTGTACAGAGAAGGAGATGCCCTTCCCTGCACTCCCCAAGACCTCTGGCAGGTGCAGAGACCACTGCCCACCACAAACCTAACCTACTGAGATTTATTTAACATTTCCTAACAGGCCAGGCAGTGCTACAAGCCCATTTTCACATAGTGCTGGTTTGTACTTCAGTATTTTTAGCTCCCTCCTGTTTGTTATCTCTCTGTTTTACCCCTCCACAGCCAGGCATCAGTTACTGACTCAGTTGCATCCTAAGGCACAACTCACAAATACTGTTCTGCCCGTACCTGCCTTAGTAATTTCTCTCTAATTTGTTTCTGATTATCATTTGTTTTTTTCTCCAGACACCACCAATATGCCCATTGTAAAGTACCCCAGGGCTAGAGAGCCCCTCTATTATGAATGGGACAGGAAAGCCCAGAAATGTGGGTTAAGACACACAGTTTATGCTGTAAATGGGGATCAGTATACAGGAGAATGGCTGGACAACTTGAAACATGGTAAGATACATAATTTTGGGGAAAGGTACCAATTTAAATGTCCTTAGAAAGGTTCCTAAGGGCAGGGAGCAGTCAGTGGTTCTATATGCTCCTGGAAGAGCATTCATTCTTGTATGACTATATATATATATATATATATATATGTCTTTGATACATGTAATGTAAAAAAGCACTCAGAGACATTTCTAACAGGTAGCTTGAAGAGCTTTTGCATGCACTCAGGGGCAATTACCCAAAATATCTCTGTTATGGATATTTAAAAATCCTCTCCAAACAGAGCAAACTGCAGTGAGCTCCATGCACTGGGATGTTCCCTGGCTGCACAGTCCCTGCAGCTCTCTCAGCTCTTGACTTGGCTTCAGGAATCTTAATTTATCCTCAAGCTGTGGCGGGTGCTGCAGGAGACAGAGCAGGGGAAGGAGACCCTGACCGAGCCCTGAGCAGCCGGAGCAGGACAGACTTGTTTACAAGCAGAAAAATGAGGTTTGGAAAGATTCAAGTGCATTCAGCAAAGGCCACACAGGAAGCCCCTGATCAAGATTAACGATGGTTCTGACTTGGGAAGCTAAACTGAATCCCAGACCTGAGCCTGACCTGGTGCAGGGAGAGCTGCCCCATCTCAGATGGAACAGGAAGGCAGCCCTGGACACCCTTCTCCTAAACTCTGCAGCATTCCTATTTTTGTTAAACAGGTAAAGGCACCCAGATATGGAAAAGCACCGGAGCTATTTACAGTGGTGACTGGAAGTTTGGGAAGCAGGATGGTTATGGCTCATACAGCGTTCCTGACCCTGTAACCAAGGAATACAAGAGGGTGTACACAGGCTGGTGGAAAAACGGCCAGAGAACTGTAAGTGAGATTTCCTGCACGTGCCAGCAGTGAGGCAGCGTGACCCAAAACACAGGGAAGGGTTGGGTGCACATGTGCAAAAAGATCACTTAAAATACTAATTTTCCCAGTACTGAGACTGAATTGAATGGTTGAGAGTAAAAATCCATGATTTTTATGGGAGTGCCATTTCCCTGCTGCAGAGGGACTCATCCCACTCACACACTGGTTACCAGGCTACAGCCCCAACCAGCTGCTGCAGAGCAGTGGTTACTGCTCAGACTCACCTGCAGCTTGGCCAAGTAGGATGAGAGGCTTTGTATCCCATCTCTTAATCCCCCTGCCCATCCCTTTCATTCCTCTTATCCTTGAAGGAATTGGAGGAACCTGTATTATAAATGCTGCAGGAAAATGTACCTTCTTCTGGGACTTTTACAGCATATTAGACAAATAACATGAGTTCTTTTGGAAATTAAGCCTGTCATGTAAATCATGTTTTTTTCTAAAAGGAACACAACGAGAAAGTCATCTGGTAGAAATGACTGCAATCTCATGTGCAAAATCCTTGTAGGAACAGTTTGGGATCTGCCAATGGAAATCTTGTGTTCGCCTTTGTGTCTGCTCTTAAATTAAACTAATCGCCACCAACGCCTGTAATTGGTGTGTGGCTCCAGCCCCTCGGAGGGAGCTTCCCCTCCTGTTCTTTCTGGTTATATTTTGGATAATTGAGCTTGGGTGAAAGATTTGCAATGATATCCAAGTATCACAAGGGTTGATTTTTCTTCTACCAAAGTTTCTCCTTTACATACATTCAGTTTAGTAAAATTAATACTCAAAATCAGTTATTTCCAGAACTGATTTTATTATTTGTTCAGAGATAAATTAACACTTTATTCCTATGGGAAAACTCATTAGTGATATGGAAATATTCCTTACTGGTATAACTCCCTGGTATAGGGGGTACCTCTGGACTTCTCTTAATGACAAACACACATGTAAGACAAACAAGGGATGGAGTTGCCCAGGCTGGAACAGGTTGGGCTGCAGGAAGTGTTGTCAGTGTTGAAAGGGATGAAATCTCCATGTTGAGAGACACATCCTTTAATGCTGCCTATCCCCAGGCAGGTTTATATACTCGTAAAACCCGCTTTTAGCTAAATATTAGCAGCAATCATGCCAATAAAAACACACTGAGATATAAACCCAAGAGTTTTTCATGGGAATAAAACCATTTGCCAAAAAAAATCCCATACTACCACCTCTGGTTTCCTTCAGCACGCGAACAGCCACTGAGCTGGGCTGCCACATGTGTAAGAGTAATAAACAAAGGAACAGTGTAGCAAAGAGATGTCCCAAAATTGGACACTGGCCCCTTTCAACAGCACAGCTCCTCACCAGCCATCTCTGTGCTGCTGCCCAGGGCCAGGGGGTGTTCTTTTACCCCAACGGGGAGCGCTACGAGGGCGAGTGGAGCGACGGAGTGCGGGGCGGCTGGGGCCGGATGTACTACCTGGATGGATCCAGCTACGAGGGACAGTGGGAGGCGGATCAGCCCAACGGGCAGGGGATGCTGCGGCTCCGTAAGTACCGGGCGCCTGCCTGCCCCCTTTCAAGCTATTTGGTGTCGTGCTGCTCTCCAGGTGTCTCTGCCATCCAGGTTTCTGGATGCTCCATGCATTGCAGCAGGGCTGTGGCTGCTCCAGGTCATCCCTCCCCTCCTGGTCTGGGGCTGGAGGCAGCACAGCGCTGGCTCAGGCCCACACACATGAAAGCTTATTTTTGCTGTGATTTACATTTAAATGACTGGGATGGTTCGGGTTAGAGATAATATACTGTTGGGTCAGAGAAGAGCAAATCTCTCTTTTCAAGCCAGGCACTTTGCCAGACAGACTTTTTAGCTCTGCATACCAAAGAGGAGTCCAGTTTCCAGCACAGGGAAAAAAAGCAACAGAGAATTTTCTTGCTGAGTTCACTCCATCCCCTCTCTTACTTCCGACAGCAGCTCACGTTGAGTGAACACAGGGGTTTCATTAGTACACAATCCTCTTCCATAAATAACACCAAGCACATCACGGATTTGGAATGTTAGGGGCAATCTCATCATAAATACAGAAATCTGAAATTTTTTTCCCCATATTTTCCTTGGAGTTTAACACATTTTTCCCCGAAGCCAAGAATCCCAGTCCTTCGCAATACAAGGCATGACATTCCAAGAACATTTGAAGAAATATTATCTCCATATTAGTGTTCATCTATTCTATTTTTTTGCTTGAAAGTGATCTCAAGACTAGTAATTAGCTTAACAAAGCAGCTGGGAGGAATGGGCATGACCTTCACTGCACATCACAGGCACTTTGGACCAATGGCCCATCCGGATGAAATCAGCACCTGCTTCCAGGGAGAAACCTTCCACTGATCTGCTGCTCTCCCACCCAAGTCCCTGTTAGTCACAAACTAACAGCCCCTACGGGCTGAGCTGCGGCCAATGCACCATTTCAGAGCCCCGTTGCCTCCAGCATTGCCTGCAACCGACTGCGAGCTGGATTCCTTTTGGTTAAAATTAGCCAGAGCAATTATTTCATACCCACAAGCCCAATGCATCCAGCTCAGTGCTGGAGGGGTGCCCACGTGCCGGCAGCTCTGCGATGTGAAAGAAAAGGAGTTCTCCAGTGGAGGTCACGATGAGCTGCAGCTCAAGATTAAATTGCCTGTAGTGGCAGCGCGCCCGGCGAGGGTGAGCTCGGCTGGGAGCGCCGCGCTGCTCTGCCACCTCTGCCATGGCTATTCCCAAATGGAGCATGTCCACTGGGATCACAGCAGTGAGCACACAGCCTCCGGTGCTCTGAGAGGGGATGGGAGCAGCTGGACACCACGGTGCAGCCAGGGCATTCCGTACCCCCTCCATCAGAGCCAGGGCTGTGATTTTGGTGGTCTCTCAGTTGTTGGTGGCTGGAGTGCAGGAGCTGAGCTCCTCCTACCACTGGGCAGGGTTGGTGTTGCAGATAAGCACAAAACCAGATCAAAGCTGCAGATAACCACCACCATAGCTCCAACCTGTAAACCAGAGCCTGCCTGAGCAGCCAGGCAGCCACACTCCACAGAAGCATTTCTGGTTTTTCCTCCTTACAGTATTCTGGCAGGCCCCAGCTACCTCTGCAGCACCATGCAGGGTGCCCTGGTATTTCAGCCGCTTCTTGTCCTGAAGAATGGCAAAGTTCAGCTGAGACTCAAAGGCACTTCCACTAATTATCAGAAATTCCCATGGTTTTGGGCTTAGAAACACTATATGTAGGCAAAGGGGAGAGCAGAGGACTCTCCCAGTGACAGCAGGATGGCCTTGAGGTGTCCCAGCATCACTGTGGTTATGATGCCACTTCTCAACCAGCATCCATGGATGAGGCTGCTCTCCTCTCCTTGCAGCTCTGCTTTCCCTGTTAGTGATGGATGGATGGATTCCTGGAGAGTAGCACAAAGCCCAAAAATAACCTCTCTCAACTTGCAGAAAAACGCCAGGAGAAGCAGTACAGCTGGAAAAAGAGTCTGTAACTGCCTGAACTGCTCAGACACTCACAGCAATTCTCGGCCTTAATTCATTGAGGAAAAACTAACTGCAAATATTCTTTGAAATCAAGATTATTTTGCCTGGACAACAGTCAGTGCTCTGTTCCTTGCCCAGACAAGCAAACCTCTCTCTTCAAGCCAGAGATCCTGTGTGATTTGTTGCAGTGACAAAACTGAAACTTGTGTCCTGTAATTTTTCACGTGAGGAGTGACTCAGTGACCAGTCCCTTACCCTGAGCTCACTTGCTCGGTGTATCAGCAAAAAATGAGTATCACTGTAAGAACAAAGCAGGTGAACACAGTTCTTGTTCCAGCTGGGCAAGCGTGGGCTCCTTCCACAGCCCTTTCTCCCTCTGCAGCGCAGCGAACAGAGCACTGCAAAAGCAAAATGACACACTGTGCTGCAGCCCCCTGGAAATTACTAAGAGAAGCCAAATATATCACCTCCTTCTCTGTCATTTTGCTCTGTTGATTGTTTTCATTTGTAACTCCTTAACAAAATGGTCTGTTCATGTATTTAACTGCAGCAAATGGAAATCGGTACGAAGGAGGTTGGAAAGATGGAAAGAAGAATGGCCCAGGGAGATACTTCTACGTGGATAAGGGACAGTTGTTAGAGGGCACCTGGGCAGAAGATGTAGCAAAGTGTGGAGTTCTGGTTGACTTCGATAGAGACAAAGCTCCGGCCCCTACTCAGTACCCAATCCCAAAGGTAATTGCTTGGAAATTTCAGTGTTTGCATCCATCAGCACTTGGATCAGCTCTCCAGGTAGCGTTTCCCTCCTCCAGTGATTACCCCCGTGGGATTCCGCACTTATAGGGCGTGTGCTCAGTGTCTTTTGGCCAGCAGTGTCCTCAAGGGCCCCATAGGGCCAAACAGTTCATCCAGCCTCCGCTGGAGCCTCCTAATCACCTACATCTGAAAAAATGCAGTTCTCATGCACCAGAACTGCTCAGAGACCTGAGGCAGCACAAAGGAAACGGGGACAATAGAGGCAGAGACAATTGTGGGATTTGCGTCAAAACCAAACGATTTCCCCAAGCCCAACTGCTGAAGCTGAGTAGACCCTACAGAACCCCAGGCAGCTGCAGGGCTCACAGCAGCTCCCTCCTCTGCCTGGGTACTCCAAGTCAGGAGCTCATCGTGTCCAGCAGCCCCAGAGGCAGCAGGGTGTGTGCAGCTTCCCACCTGGTCCCAAGGTGGGCAGATGGTGTCCCAGAGCCAACATCTTCTGCTCCCCTTTCCCATGACTGACACACTGCTGAGGAAGAGTCAGTGCCTGTCCCCATCCCGAAGACTTGGAGAGACACTCAAACACACTGGGCTCTCAACTTGGCAGCCACCAAGTCCTTGCACATCACTTTGGTAAAAGAGCCAGAGGACAGGAGAGCCTATGCCCTGCTCTGCCCTCAAAGGAAGACAGGGAATGGGAGCCCATAGTGAACAGATGTGGCTCCAAGTGACACAGCTGGCCAAGAGTCTCAGCTTGAACACAAAAGCTTCACATTTCCAGGGGATGGTTACTGCAGGAAGGGGTGGGGAAGCTCCTCTTTGCTTGGAGCCAAGCAGAACCACCCTGGATAACCACAGCACACTGCTTTGCTCCAGGAACACTGGGAATAGCACAGCCCCATAAGCAGGTAAAGCCACCTACCTTCCTCTGCCCCAGGGACAAGGCTGTTGCAAATGATACCTGGCACGTGCAGCCTTCCAAAGCTCACAGCTGCTACACCTTCACTGCCTCTATTTTTTTCAAATCTGGTTTCTGTAGCAAAGGACCCTTTGAGCAGAGACAGTTTTGACAAGCCAGTTAATCCTGTAAGCACCAGGCACACCCACAGCAGTGCAGAGTAATAAACCCCAAATACCCACCAGGGAAAAACAATCTCTATTTTTCCAAAAGAGTGAAAGGAGCAGCACTTCTGTAGCTAAAAATATTTACCTTATGTGGTTTGTCAAAGGTCACCCAGAACAGCCTCAACAACCCAACAGTCTGGGATGAAATGCTGGTGGGCAATGCAGGATGTGCAAGTCTGACTGTTTATTTAACTACCTGAAGACCAAGTGATGACCCAATTCTCTGCTGCTCTAGGTGCAAAAAAGAAAGCATCAACTTTCACTGCTGTTATTGTGCTTTTAATCAGTAGAGAGCTGATGATCTCAGAGTATGAAGGAAGTTAACAGATGCTCATAAACTTTTTCACGCACACACTCTTTAAAAATTATGAGATCCAACAGGCTACAAATCAAAGCCATTCTTGTTTTGTCCAAGAATGTGTTTAGTTAAAGGAGGCTCAGCCACTCCACAGAGCTATTTCAAGGAGATGAAGTGATGTTCAACACATTAATAAAATTAGGGAAGTGTAGCAGTGTTTCTAAAACAATAATTGAAAGGCTGCAATATGAACTAAGTCCTGATACATGGGAGACTCTCTGTGAATGCTTGAGTAATCAAGATCTATAAAACCTTAAGCTTCTTCAATTACACTGCATAACTGATTTGTATTCTTTTTATTTAGATTGAACTAGATGATCCAGCTGGTGTTTTAGCAGAGGCCCAGGCACTGCTTGATGACAGCAATAATTAATAACTGGAAGCTGAAGAAAAAGAAAAGATGTAAGATAAGAACAGTCCCGAGTTATGTATTCGAGTGTCAAATCCACACTGTGGTGTATCATGGTCTGCTTCACTCTTCCCTCAAGGCTGTTCAGGTACACTTCACTCTGCAGCTGGCTTTGCTCAGTAGCCTCTTCCCACCCCCATTATTTTGGGAAAAAAAGGGAAAAAATTAAAGAGGAAAAAAAAAGAAACCACGAGCAGCAAAACACTGGAAGACAGGCAGGGGGACTCTGCTCAGCTCCTCTGACTTACTCCTGCTGTAAAGAAATCACACTCCTCTTGGTTTCAAGGTCTTTGCCTTAGAGAATGAGGGCTTTTAGTGGCTGCTATAAAAGCAAGGCCCTAGAAAAGTACAATCAAATAACTCCCCCCAAACTTAACCCAATACATACCTGTGACCCAAAATGGCTTTTGAAGTTACAACAGATCACAGTTCAATTAATAAATATACTTTAGGCCTCTAGATAACAAACAATCAGCAACAATTAAGTAGATTTTATTTCATGAAAGTATTTTATATCTAAACAAGTGATATACAATAACCAATGTTTAAAATGCTTGAGGTAAATGCCTCCTAACACCGTTAGTATAAATAAGGGATTAAAAAAAAAATTTAAGTGCACTCTCAATGTTTAGAGCCACGTGTTTGTGTCTGGTTACTGCCTGGGCACACAGTGACAAAGGTACCCAAGGTGTAACTTTCATGACCATTTCCACAGGTGAAAAATGAGAGAAACATACTCGATATCACGGCTTAAAGTGCAGCAAACAGTCAGAAAAGCAGCTGCAATAACAGTGCCACTAGCTCAGGGCCTACCAGTTTGAGAAAGTTAAAATTAAGGTTGTCCCACTAGCTTTGAAGTCTGTATCTCTTAAACAAAAAAAACCCACCAAAAATCCATACTTCTCTGTCACTTTGTAAAAGATTAACAACGGGAAATTCAGCTACTTATCCAGGACAGCAAGTAATTTTTACAAAGTAAACTTGGAAAACTGATGTTCTGGGCTTCATTCAGAACTGCGTAACTTTTAAATACACAGTTTATGGACAGAAGTACAATTTTTAAGCCTGACAGCACCCTTTGCTCAAATGTGAATACTGAGTCAGGTTTTCTTCTTTTACTGAGAGGTTTTAAGAGTTTTTCCCAAGACAGGACTAGTATTCCAGTAAAGGATGGGAAAATACACTTTGTGCCTATTACCAAGACTTTCTGTTTTGGAATGCTGCTTCCTTAATGCCTTTACTAACATAATCCTTCCCGTGCTCCATGAATGAGCACCTGTGGGACTGTAGTTACAATCCTCACCATCAGATTTACATCAGGAATAGAGCAGATTTGAAGCACAACGTAATGGCAGAGCTGAGAAAATCCAGTTTGGCCTCTGTATGCCAGAAGGACTTGTGAAAACAGCAAGTGCAAAGCTGTTTGCTGCTTGTGAACAGAGACTGCTGCTGAAAAGAACAGCCCAGCAGGTTTTTTTTTATAGTTGTTTGTGACAATACAAAGGCACCACGGGTGACCTTGTCAACACGTTGCACTGCGGTGCTGCTGACAGGAGAGATCAGCCCCATCTGCTTCAGAGGCTCCTGCAGCAGCAACCACACTCTGCACCCAAACTCCACAGGCACATCCTGCAGTTTGTAAATACCTTGGGATAACCCCTGATGGAGGTTGGTGAGACAGCCCAGGCTGTCAGGTACAAATCCACTGTCCTGTCACAGTCACTCCTGTCTCAGGTCAAAATCCCAGGTTTCCATTCCACAGTGACAGCTACGACAGGGAGGTCAAGTTTTTTCCCTTAGACTTGAAACCTGTCTCAGTTTGTGTTCAAAAAACAGCTTTTAACTATTAAATCTCAGAGCCACTCCCTGGAAGAACTGTATTCCAAAAAATCCCACTCCTAGACATAGCCACAATTACTGAAGCAGCCCAGGACAACTGCTGCAAACTTTCTTGAACAAACTTCTTATCTAGGAGACCAAATGGAAGTTTTTGCCTTAAGAGGAAATAAAGAATGACATAGTAGCTTTGCTGTCACAGATGTGTCTGAAAGTAAGCAGCCAATATTAATTACAAACAACCTACTTTCATAAATAAATATACATCCAGAATAGTTGCCTTCCAGATTCCTCTGGAATCAAAAAATGTATAATGAGTTATTAAATATACAACACTTCAGCAAGAAGACTTTTCTAAACAAGGAAGACCAAGGCATAGCTAATTACTTGGGAATCCAACACAGAGAAAGCACCTTTTGCTGCTTGTATCTGAGGATTTATTAAAAATATATTTTCAATATAAAAGTATAAAATAATTACTACTTTGGCTTGGAAAAAAACAGCAGTGGTTCTGATTTTCAAGCAAAAAAAAAAAATTATCCAGTGATAATTTCCATCTAGTTCCTCCTTTTTAAAAAAAGATTCCTAAATGAGAAACAGGCAGATCTATCTCTCCAGATAATATTTGCCAGCTCATGAGAACTTTAAAAACAGTTATTGCTTTTATTTTCTTCCACGGAAGAGTCGAGTCTCATTCCTACTCATGTGGCCACACCACATCACAGTAAGACTAGTCCGGGGTGTTTAGCAAGTTACAAAATGTGTAAGTGCCACGGGAAAAAGGCGCTGGAGAAATCAGTAAAGTAATAATTACTTGGCAGCAAAACATACTGGGGAAAGTGGTGGGAAAGCTCTCGCTCCTACCATCTGTCAGGCTTTCCAGGGAGAGCAGCACCAGCACCGAAACCAAGTGCTAATTGCTGCATGTCCCAAGTAATTTGTATCATGCCATGCAATATGGATCGGACAAGCAGTATCTTCTAGTAAACGCCAACATCAAATAAACAGAGAAAAAAAAAACCTCAACAACTTCTTTGCCCATTCCTAGCAAATACCCAAATGTACAATGTTATTTTCCATGTATTTATACAGCCACCGTTCAGCATTAATGAGAAAATAAGCGAGACAGTGTCCACAGGAGGAGGGCTGCACGCACAGTGCAATCACACCCCACCATCCCTTCCTTCGGATAGCAAAAACTGCACGAAAGGAACATTTTTTTTCCTTCTCTAAAGGGTTAGAACAATATTTATAATCTCTCTTCAAACAGTGATCAGCAGTTCAACCCATTCATCCACAGGGCAGTCAACGTAAGGCAGAAGCAGAACAGTGGGGTTATCTTCCTGAAGCACAGGCTTACGCAAAATTGGTAACGGCTGAGGAGACAGCATCACCTCTGTGATCCAGCTGATCCTGGAGCCGTGCAAATTCAGCAAGTTCATTCAGCTCCTGGAATTGCCTGTCTGTTTTATGGCTCACCAGTGACCGGTAGAAGTGGACTGCAAACACGATGAAAATCAATCCAAAGGGCACCATAATAGATGTGGATGCAATGGCTGCTGCCTGTCCCGACGTGATGGTAGAACTGTTGCCCTGTGGGGTATTATCAGTTTTCTTCTTTAAAGGAAGAAACTTCACCCAGCACAGCAACACCACCTCTGCAAGGAAGAGCAAAGTCCCAATGACAGTAGAAAACGCCCACGCGAGCTCGATGTGCCGGTGCATTCGCTCGTGAGGAGATTCCTTGACAGAGTTGAGATTGTGCACGTTGCTGACAGCCTCTATGTTTGGAAGAATGCAGGTGCTTATCATGAGTGCAAAAAGGTGAACTGCAACAAGGACAGTAGTGCAGGCACTGAAGGCTATCAAGAGCCCTTGAGGGTAGTCATGTTCTGCGTCGAGCTGAACTTCCACCATGGCCACCTGAAAAGGAAGGGAGAGAGCGAGGCAGTTATCTACATTACATATTGTTTGACTATAGATTATTTTAAGTTTAAACCAAAATAAGTCTGCGTTTACGTTTCTCTCCATGTCATCTGCACCCTTTTCATCAGGTTCAAATTTAGGTCTGAGCAAAAGGCCACCGTTTTCATACTTACTGTTGTGTTGTAGAGCAAACCTTCAATATGCAGAAAAGCTGTTACAACACAACCAGCTTGCCACCTCCAGCTCATCCCATCAAAACAGATGAACTTTGTGAATAACACACCTGGACTCCTTAAGTGAAACATTTCTTCTTTCATGTTATACTCTTGGGGCAGCTTTTGATCTTTCACTATAGATTATAAATTTTGCTTGGTATTAGGAAATATTTTGTGTCCCATATACATGTAGAATGAACACCACATAAAGTCGTTTAAATATCCATAACATAAAAGCCTTCACAAAGGCAGCAGACTGCCCATCACAACCTTGGTGGTTCCTTTCTCCTTGGATATTTGGGTTTAACTTCTGAAGAGTAGAAGTCTTTCATGAGAAAAGATCACCTTTCTGTGTGGCTCTCAGCTATATCCTTTCACTCAAGTATTTAAGCAGACTGTAGAACACAAACTGAAAACATGACGGTCTCCACAATGCCTGTGGCAGCCAAACTGGCCTGTGAGAGGCTGAAGAAAGCCAATGTCTCCAAGAAAAGATAATACAGTGGTCGCAGGCATCACAAGCTCCTCACCCTGGAAGCCATGTCACTGCTCATCCAGAGATGAGGCTACTCATGAAGATCCTCCACTATTGTATGAGCCATCCCCTTTTACAACCTTAGATCTCCAAGTATCCTGTGCTTCAAGAGCAGAAATCAGCAATAAATAACATCACTAGGAAACTCATAAACCCAGCTCAGAATAAGGAAAATGAACTAGAATGCCTTTTAAAAGGTTTTAAAACTGTCAGGTGGTTTTATGCATGTGCAATTGATGAGTGATATTAATCCCAGCAGCTCTCCTGAATAATCCTTCCTGATAAATTTGACTTTCAGACAAAGCATTGTTCCAAAGAGGGAACAATGCACCAAGGTCTCTATGTTCAGTGTACTTTCTCAAAGGAATTCATTAAGCAGACAAAATACATTTAAAGTGCAGAGGAAAAAAACCTAACAGTAATCTGAAATATAAGCACATCAAGCTGATAGGAAGAAAAATTCCTGAAGTGTGGGTTCATGGATGCAGGGAGGCATGGAAACCAGGACCTGAAGACAGCTGCAAAAGCAGCAAGAACATTCAAACCTCACTACTGTGCAAGAGGTGAGCCAAGCTACAGCTAGTCCTGCATCCCACCTTCCTACACATGTTCCAGGACACCAGAACACCTGATCACTAATGCACCAAATCTATTAAGGCAACCAAGGGTTCTGCTCAGACATGTTTCAACAGGCATTCAAGGCCATTTGCCAATTTTTTAATTCCTTTATTGAAAGCTTTTATTCTCATAAGCCTCACCACTCAGTCAACCAGTGAACAGTTTCCAAGTGTTACAAGAAACTCAACAAGAAATCATATTAATGCATATACGATTCTTGCTCAAAGATTTAAAAATACCATTTTTTAGTCGTGGGAAACTTCACATTTGAGAGGATAAACATTTGGTTGTCAGGATTGCTTGTTAAGTCCCAGCGTACTCGTGGGATGTTGGGCTTCGTGTGCTTTTCACAGAACAATTGCAATCCCTCACCACCAAGGATTCATTTTCATACTTATCAAATATTTTTCTTGTAAGTCTTCTGGTGTGTCTAGACTCAAAACCATTCAGCATGGAAAGGCACTTTAATTCTTCATCCTAGTAGTATGTTAACATAACTATGACACTAAAGAGATTCATTAGATAAAGACTTAATTTTCTTTTAAGAATTGATGTATTTAATTCGCCAAACATTGAAGACATTTTATATTTCCATTAATCAATGCCTCCACGTAGTAATGATATCAAGCATCTGATTTTGAACTCCTTGTGTTCATGTCTGGCAGAGTAACCCCAACTTGACCTGTAAGTGAAAAATCAGTTCGTGTTTTCTGTCTCCTCAAACTCTCAAGAAAGCTAATCTGGGAACTCTTTCAGTGTAAACAAGCAGAAAAACTGCCAACTCCTTTCAATTGCAAGTTTACTTCCTGGGCCAAGCTTGAGCCAGGCACCTAAAACAAAAAGCTCTATTTTTCATCATGAGGCCCCGTGCCTGTTTTCTAACAGCGATGCAAAGTGGCAGAAGTTCTTCCCACCTTTACTCACGCTGCAATTCCAAAATAAACAGCTCCCAACAGCTCCTGTAAGGTAACACCTGCAAGAACAAGGCCCAGGTGAGGTCACCTGACATGATGCCAATCCACAAAAAGCCTGAACTCACAAGTACATGCTGATGTTCCAGGCAGGATATTTTCCTGTCCAGAAGACCTGCTCAGGGCAGGGCTGCACAGTTTCCAACACAACATGTTCTGCACCTTTTCCTTCACCACTTTTAAAGCTCCTCTGAACACTTGCTGCGTGATTTCCACTGCGCAGCTGCCCCTCTGCAAACGCCCTGCCCTGCTGCGTAATCACAGTGTAACACGGGTTGGAAGACTCCTCAAGAGGTCATCTGGTCTAATCCCTGCTTCAAAGAAGAGCTAACTTTAACTTCAGATCATCCTACAGATATGACTGGCAGATTTACTACAGCTCTTGACAAAATTAAAAGACTCTCATGACATTAAGACTCAAGACTGAAGCTCTCATAAGCCTAAAAATGGTGGGCATTCAGATGCTTTCAGAAGATAACTGAATTTTGGCACACAACCATGTTAAACCTTCCACAGTCCTGGGTTTCAGAGTCATGGCAGCCTGATTACTACCATACTGTAAAAAATTTAAGAACTTGCCCTCTGGAAGAATCTGCATTTTAATTTTTTTTCAGTTTAATATCCTGACCAAGTTCTATTTGCTTATTTAAAATGTTCCCAAGTCTTATTAGACCAGAGGGGCTTAAATAAAGCTCCTGCTTTTAAATTAAAATCATATGCTTACGTATCTTTTGAAATCAGTAGCCAGTGCTGTAGAGGAAAGTCAAGAATGAAATGGGTGTCACAGCATCAGTGGAAATCAGCACTCCTGGCTGGCTCCCTGTTTTCCTGACAGGACTATTCACCCCAGAGAGAGAGGCTCAGAGCCAGGCTCTCACAGACTGTCTGCACCATTCATGAAGAGTTATAAACAACTCAGAGAGAGAATTGTGTATGAGCCAGAATAACTCACCGGAAATTAAAAACAGATAAGTCAAAATAATGATCTTATTTCTGGTTTTATACAGAAGGGAAACTAAGCATCATTTATCCTTTAGTCCAGGATCTCGAGTCTGTAATTATTGTATGTTGCAGAATGACAAAACACATTAATATTTGCTGACACCAACAACAGAATACAAACAAGGATTTCATTTCATTTTGCTAGCAAACATGAAAAGACAATACCCAGATGACTGGAGCAAATGCATCTTGAGGAGGTAGTACCTCTGCACAGTGTAACTTAAAGCAAATCTATCCAATAAGCACAGGGTGAGATCAGCCAGAGGCTCAGTGTCACCTTTATGTCCTCCCAAATCTGACAGAACAGCAAGGCCTCAAGTGCCCCACACTGCCTGCCTTGCTCATCTATAACCCTGAGACAGGAACGTTCAAAGGAGCCACAAAACATTGTTTTCATGGCTGGAATAGAAGGAACCTTTCATGTGGGGGAAGATTCTTCAGCGCAGCTCTAACCCGTGAGCGCAACAGCGATGTAAAAGTAAGCAGTGGCAGAAGCCACAAAGCCAGGCCCGTAACGCCTTCCTGCAGGTTACAAAATGCTGCTGTTTCATGTTATTCTACAGCAATCCAGTCAAACACAGATAAAAAACTTCTACAGAGACCATTTTAGTATTTAAAACTGCAGAGTGACCTGTACTAGACAAGGGCTGTGCTGCCTTGAGCACCTGTACAGCTCTGACAGCAGCGGGTCCAGTCCAGCCCTGCAGCACCTCAACACCAACTGCTGTGATGGAAATCAGATTCATAAATATTTATCACCGCAGTCATTCTGCAGAATATGATGGGAGCTGCTTTCAGAAGACCATTCTGGGTATATTTCAAAGGCAAGAGTTGACAGTTCTTTGATGATATTCAATATTTGAAGTGTATACATTCCCATCTAGACAAAGCCCAGCCAGCTTGAAGCACTCAAAGTATTAAAAAGAAAACTGTGCTGTCTGGTAAATAACTTCCTCCAAATCCTATTTATAATGAAGCCAACCACAGTGTATAATTCAGACCCCTAGTTTTGACTCAGCTATTTCCACAAAGCTGTTAATTGGTGGCAGGAGGTGACATTGAGTTTTCCACTTTGATGACTATTGGGATCTAACAACTTCCCTATGATTCCTGACTCCCATATCATGACATTGTCATACTACTGTGTGATGCATCCCTGGTGACAAAATTACACCAACAAGTCAGATTAATTGTTCAAACAAAAATAACCTGCCAGCAGCCTGTCTCCTCTGGAGCTCTCGATTCTGCTGCTCTAGGTGTGGATGAGCCAGTGCTTGCAGTATTGGATACAATCTGCAAAATATTTCCAGCATTCAAATAAACTGGACTGGGAAATAAAAACAGATAAAGCCAGGCACGAGGGAGAAAAATATCATACATCAATATCTGGGGTATAACACAGAAGTGAAAAATACCTGATGCCTCCACCAGCGCATGGAGGGAATCCTCCATTCTTCCATGGACTGCACACACCCTACAATCTCTTTACCTCTAACAATCTGGGGGATTGATATTACTTGCTGGCCCCATAAACTGGGAAACTGTACTAAATGAAGATGATAAGCCTCGTGGATTTTCCCTCAGACATATGGCACTGGATGATAGCATCCATGGAAACCTGCACGGAGGAAATGCTGGGGTTCACTGGTTTGGGAGCTCTGCTCCCACAGCATTTGCCAACACCAGACCCTGCAACTGCTTCTTAAGTTCACACACGGTGGCAAATCCTCACGAGCAGCTCTGAAACAAAACTAACTGTAAAACAGGTTTTTAATCTTCTCTGAGGAAACTTGACACTTCAGGGCTTGAAACCTGGCTGAGCACTTCATACTCCACATCAGTGACCGAGGCAGTCTCGTGCCTTTGGCACGGTTCGTTTCCCCACGGCACGCGGAACCAATCCTGAGGGAATAAACTGTGCAAAATGGTTGCAGTTATACACAAAAAGAGAACTGTTTAGCAGGGGTAAACTTAGCTCATACTACAGAATGCAAGCACTGTTTAATCAAAGAGCAAAGATCAATAGGGCTGGCTTGGAAACCAGCACATTCCACTCCTGACAATTCCCATCAATTCACTGGGTGGTCCTGGATGTGTCATTTAAGCTCTTTCTCCCTTGTGTGATAGGGAAAATAGAGCAACAGTGAGGCTTCCTTGCTGTTGTAGCTTTGATCCAAGACTAGATTGTACTTCAGCAGCATTTTATTCAAATATCAGGTGCCAAAGAACCCGCTGCAGTCAGGAAACAAGGCATAGGTGTGACAGCAGAACAGCTTTTCAAGGCAGAAAGGCAACTCCAAAAGATAAGGAAAGTTTTTAAAAAGAAATCTAAAAATACTTGAATGTTAAGTCAGCTCTTCTGAAAACAGACTAGGAAGTGTCAGCTAGAGGACTGCCCATCAGAGCAAAACCAAAGAGGCTGCAGGTGGATTTTCAGCGAGACCTTGTAAAAGGAAGAAAAAATTGATTTTTTTAAGGGGGAACTTTGGAAAAATTAAAGTATGAATGTTCACACATAACATTCCTGGACACTGGAGATTTTGTTAATTGGAACAAAGTTGCTTTTTCCTGAAATACCCTAAATGACAAACTGAAAAGCAGCAGTTTTCAACCAAACTAGAATTATTCTAGAGAATCAAGAAAGAAGTAAAAGAAGCCTCACCTCATACATCCATGGACTTGGAGAGTCCACATACCATATATTTAGAGAAAACTCAAAGGAATTTAAGACATTAAGTACAACTTTAAAACAACAGCATTTACATTGAGATGCAACCTCACTTAAACGAAAATTTGTAAAAACCAACAAACAACAGGGTTTTTTTCCATCTTCTCTCTGACTCGAGCAGCCACCCTGACAAACTGCTCTGACACAGGAGAGGGGATGTACAACAAGGAAAACTCATTAAGCAGGAGCAGTGAGTGAGCTCCCGGCTGGATGTGTTTCCCAAGGAGAACCAACTCAAACACGCCACACGAACACAGCCGCCTGTCACTCAAACCAACAGCAGTTCCACCACCTCCCCGAAGAGCTGTGGTCTGTTTTTAGCCATTGAAGGAGGACAGTGACATTTATTTGACCGTCAGAAGGCTGCTGTGTTTCCCGACAGCATCAGTGGAACAATGGCTCTGGAGGGGAGTAAATCCTACGGCTGAAAATACCCAGTATGTTAAAAGCAGGTCAAAAAATTAAGACAAAGCAAGTCAGAGCAGCGCAATTCGGTATTTCTAAACTATGAGGCGTTTTAATAGATGCATGAAGGGGCTGAGGGCAGAGTTTGCAGCTTCGTACGTCAGAGGACTGGGCTGATGGGGAAGTCGGTAAGTAACCATATTTCTACCTATATGGAGCTTTCATCTAAGACAATTCAGGTTACTACACTGGGTTACTTCTCATCAAACCCAAAAGCAAAACACAACAAACCCCATTACTAATCCACGCACTAAACTGCAAAGTAAGCAACACCTCTGGTTTCCGTAACTAAAAAATGAGAAAATTCGCAACTGCAAAGGGTTGATAATGGATGTAACGAGTTGGAGAGAGACCGCCAACTTTAATCAGTTGTTTTTCTTAATTTATCTGAAAGCAGCTCCAGTGCAACTGGACAACTGCACAAAGCGTGCGGTCCGGGAAGCGGAGCGGGAGGGGAAGCACCGCAACCCAGGCAGCGCTGCGGGGCCCCGGGCCCGGCCCTTCGCACCTGACACCGGAGTGAACCGAAACCCCGAAATACACCCCGGTGATCTCGCGCTCACCGCCCTGCGGGGCTGCCCGCGGCACACGCGGCTTCTGCGGCCCCGAGCATCCTCCGCGGGGAAGATCCGCTACGATCCAATAAACCCTGCACTGTCCGGCGGAGGTAAAAGCGGAGAGGCAGCTCCTAATTGATCGCGTGAAGCTCTGCAGAGCAAACGAACCCCCGGGCACCCCGCACGGACCCGCTGCTCCCGGGGCGCCACGCGCCTCCGCCGCTGCCCGGGAGCGCTGTCAGGGAAGGGGCTGCAGCGCCCACCCCCGTCCCCAGGGAGCATCCATGGCAGCGGGGGCAGCGCCCGGCCCCGGCCCGTCCCCGCCCCGCTACAGCCACAGCCGCGGGGAGGCGACGAGCACCGGCCGACACCAGGAGAAGCGGCGGCAGCGCTCCCCGCCCCGGCCCCGAGCCGCCCCATCGCCCGCCGGGCCGGGCCGGGCGCTCACCATGGCGAAGCCGGAGAGCAGCGCGGAGGTGCGGCTGGAGGCTTTCAGCTTGGCGCGGCTCAGGTAGAGCTTCCGCCAGGACAGCGCCTGCATCGAGTGCTCGTTCAGGCTCATGGGCTCGGGGCGGCGGGCGGAGGAGCGCGGCGGAGCGGAGCGGTGAGGCAGGCGCGACTCGTCGGTGCGGAGCGGGCCGGGCCGCGCTAACACCCCATGGCGGCGCCGCGGCTCTGCCGGGCCGGGGCCGCGCCCGCCGCGCGCCCCGCGAGGCTGCGCACCCCGCCCGCGGCCCCGCCCGCGGCACACCATTGGGTGGTGCGCCTGGCCACGCCCTTCGATCCCGCCCCGCCTCCATCTCATTGGCCCGCGCGGAAGGAGCTGGCCCCGCCCCGCGCCGCCGCTTCCCGGCAGCCTCGAGGGACACACTGAGGGCGGGCGGCGCGCGCCGGGGGCGCTGTGCGCTGCGGCCGCCAGGGGGCGCCACGGGGAGGGGGCACCGCCCCTGCCCCTGAGGGACCCCCGGCCCTGCCCCTGAGGGAGCCCCCCCTTGAGGGAGCCCCGGCTTCTGCCCGTGAGGGGCCCCAGCCCCTGCCACGGAGGAAGCCGCGGTCCCTCAGCGGATCTGTACGGTCGAACCCCCGCGCCAAGCCCCGGCTGGAGTCCCGGGCGCGTTCTCCCGGTGAGCAGCTCGGTTGAAGCTGGAGTTGAATCTGTAGCTCCCGGGGGGTTCGTGCCCCCCAGACCCGTGCGGGGCCCCTGTGCTCGGGGCGGACAGGACGGGGTGTCCTCCCCTCAGAACAACCACAAAGCCGGGTCTCAACCCCTTCCTGCTGCAGACTCCCGTCCTGAAAAGCTGAAACATTTAACCTACCTATGTCCTGGGGTGAGGGTCCACCCTCACTTCCAGTTAACGCTGATCCACCTAATCCTTTGTCACGTAGTTCAGGTCTTCACATTTTGTAGGCCCAGAGCTCCTGATAAACCCGTTTTTATCAGCAAGTGGTTGATAAGGTTGATTAAGCAGAACATTTCAACAGATACACGTGCTAGTGTTGAAAGATGTTTTATTACCATGTTCACATAAACCCTTTAAACGCCAATTTATTTTTTCTGTGTTTTACAGAGGGGAAAATGAGGTGTAGAGCAGAACTCCCCAGCTAACACATGGCACAGTTATGAAGATTACTCCTGAAAAGGTGAGGCCATACAGTGCTTGAGCCACATCAAATTTGTGGGTCAGGAGTCACAAACAAACCTGTTGCTATCAATTTCCAGCAAGAAAAATACAATTTGAACAATAGAAATAATACTGGACTATTTACAGGCACATGGATGGTCACATAGGAGCTGAATCCATGCTAGTTCCATTAGCGACCAAAAGCATTGGTTATTTTGTATTGCCTTGACATTTAAAACCGTGCAGATTATTAACATCTTTGCTTTGTTCCTCTCTTCACACCTTTTTGATTTGCAAGGTCGTTCATTTACTAAAGCACAGAAAAGGACAATCTGTACCAACAAGGTCACTGGATGCTTTTCATTTACAAGGCATTCTTTTTAAAAAGATGTAGTTGAAGCATCCAAAAAGAACAGTCTTAAGGATTTGAAGTCTTCAGAGGCATTCTGAAACTACCATTTATTACCACCTAGATTTGATCTCCTTCCCTTCTCAGGAAATAAACACAGTCGTCTTCTTGTTATAAACAACTTTGGGTGAGATTTTTATCTACAGAGGCTTTAAAACACCTCTGCAGAAGAACAAGCCTTTGCTCTTGTATCACTGACTCCATGGAGTGTTGGCCACCTTCTTTCTCCTTTAGGGGTGACAGTACTGCTGTGTAGGGGTGGATTTGGCACCATTAGTTTTGTAGTTGGACTCATGATCTTAAAGGTTTTTTCCAACCAGAACGATTCTAGGATTATAAAATACTACTGTTTCTTTGGTGTGTTTTAATTCTTAACAAACAAACAAACAAACAAAACCCCCAGAAGACCTCATCCCACAACCAGCATTTTCTGTGTCCCCCACTGGTGCCTGAGGCTGTCTGAGCACCATATGGCAAAGCAATGAGTAAGAAACTTATTGTGATTTCTTTATGGGAGACGTGATAACTATCAAAAACCAGTCACATAAAACTCCCCATCTCAAACAAACATTTAAGTCTCTGTCATTCAGTTCCCACAGAATCATGAATTTAAAAATATTTTACACTGCTGCTCATAAGCCATGGCATGTTTATGTACATGTACATAAACAACATGGATATTTCACTATTTCTTCTTGTTTCTGCACAAAATTATGGTTGAACTGTTACATCATGGGCCAGTACTATTGCACTAATAACACCTGGGTCTTGACCTGTTCCCTAAAAACAGATTTCTCTAAAGAAAAAAAAAAACAGAACACCTGCAAAGAGACATAAATCTGGGAACTTCAAGTGTCTTTCTAAATAATTGTATTAAAATAGGCTCTTTGAACCCACTGTTCCACTATTTTTCTGTCCATCACTCTTATTCCTGTTTATTGGGAAGGGTTTTGAAAGATACAACAGCATTGCACACTGATGTACTGCTGGGTTCATATTACATTCAAAGACACAGTATGGAAAAGGACCTACAGAATCAGCAAAGAAATCTCACCTCATCTCCTTTTTCAAACCAAACCCATGTGTCATTTTAAGTCTCAAGCCCCAGTGCTGTAGCTCTGAAATGACCATTTCCTTTCCTATACGAAATTTAAAAATCGGTTTGTTAAACTGGAAAACACAAATTGAGGGTCAAGCCTTCTTCTGCAACTAAAACACAAGGACTGTAGCAGTGCACCCTTTCCCCCCTTTCTGTTCCATTTTACAGCTCCATTCTGAGGTACAAACTAAACAGGATACATGATTTTATTCCCAACTCTATTACTCATTATTACACACCTCTACACTGCCACTCCAGAGTTAGCTGAAACTAAGAGTCAGCCATGCTTAATTAACTCTTAGAAATGTGTCAGTGAGTCCTGAAGCCACGCTGGGGCTCAGAGCCGGGCTTTGCTGTCACCTGTGACCCGTGCAATTGCAGAAGGCCACCAAAAGGGTGTAGTCCTGCCCTCTCCCTTCATCTCGCCCCTCTCCAGCCTGTGGATCGCACTCAAATGGCTACTGAGCTTCAGTGAGCTGACCTAATGAAAAAAACATATATTTTTTTTTCTTAATGGCTGAGTTTTCTGCTGGATCAGGTCACTGAACTGACTTGCCTAGTGGCTCCAGGAGGGAAAGCGGGAGAAGTGAGGGATGGACATGCAAGAGAAAGGGAACGGGCCCTTTCAGCAGCAGGCTGTTATTACCCCTAATTAGAGGTAATGTCAACCCATTCTCTGGATCATTTATGCATGAACACAATCGGAGCAGGTGGCAGAAGTCCAAGTTTCTTTCCAGAGAGCCCTGAGAAATCTGTAGACTGTCACAAGGATACTCATAGTTCTTTGCTTTGCCTGCTAAAAATGTACTTCTGTATTTTCTGTAGGAGGCTGAATAGGTTCGCTGAGTACCCTGTGATTAATGTGATCCGGTGCTGAGCACGCCGCGGTGCTGCCCTCGCCAGAGCAGCTTTTCTAAAACCCATCTCCGGCTTCACATGCAAATCAGCACTTCCATTTGTTCCTGTTACTGTACCCAAACCGAATCAGGGCACCCCAAAGTGGAAATCATGGTAGTTCTGCATTAAAAACAACACATTTGAAGTTGCAAAAGGCAAATAAAGGGTTGTCAGCAATCCCAAGGAGGTTAAGGCAAACATCTCTTCAAATCTCATCTGAAGCAGAGCTTTAAGTTTAATTAATTAACTAAATAATAATTAACTAAATTATATATATATATATATAAAAATAATTAACTAAGTAATAAATAAATAAACTTTAAGTTTAGTTAATGGAATTTCTGCAGGGGAAAGATTTGGACATGTCATATCTAGAAAAAAATTGTATTTTAACTTCCTTCAGAAACCAATGAAATAGTTAAATATCTCATCTTCCATCTTAACCTAAGGTAAGGTATAGAATGGTAGGTCTTACAGGATAAAAAATATTTTAAAAAATGTTTTAAGATTAGTTCAGTCTATTCTATCCAATGGGAAGAAGTAACTATGTTTTAGAGGTCAGTGGGGTGAAATGAACCCATTTCTTCATTCAGCCTTCCTAGGCACAGCACTTCAGTTCTGGTTTTAGCAAGAGCTCTGCAGTACAAGGTTAATTAAATGACAGCTCCTAGTTTCACAATAACAAGGTCAGGATCCAGGCCATAGCATGATTAGATCTTAAATAATTTATGTTACATTAATATCCAGCAAAAAAAGTTTTAGTGCTTTTTTCAGAGTTCAGCCCAGCCCCTTTCCCAACAACCACTGCTCCCTTTCCACAGGATGGATACTGTGGTCTTGATACTGTGTCACAGTGTTAATATGAGTGGTTTTCCCATATTTTTGACTGTGAAGAAGGCCAGGTTTGTATCAGCCCTGGGCTGTCCCATTCCAAGCGCTGCCTGATGGGGCCCAGCTCTGGGCACTGTTGGAAAACTCTGGCATGGTCTGCTCAGAGGGGAAACCAGCCCCCAACCCTCAGCAGCCAGCACTTTAATCTGGGTCCTGTAGCACAGGGGTTTAATATTGCTTCTAAATGCTTTTATCCTATCTAATGCAGCTGTGGATATGGATATTCTCATCATCCACAGCCTGCCTCCCCCCCTTTTTTCCCTAGTTCTTTTGAGACTTTTTTTTTGTAATTAATACAGAGATTATTTCCATGGTATAATGAACTGTAGTTGACTAGGAATCATTTCTGTCTTAAAACGAGGTTAAACAAGTGTTTTCTATTTTTGGAGATCTATAGATAGAAATTGTGGTATTTCTGAAACATTTACTTCCACACTTCCATAATGTGCTCTGGTGTTTCCAGGTGTATGTGATGGATACAGTCCTTGATGGGTTTGCTTGATACACCAAGACTCTAAGATTGTTCGTGTCTGAAAAAGAATATTTAGAAAAATGAGTTGATTTTCTTTTATGTCTCTGTTCTGTCTCTTTTGGTGGACTTTTTTGGAATGGATGGATGATGTGTTTTTTGCTGATGATTCTCTAGAAACATCCATTTATCTTGTACTCTGGCCTCAATCCTACAGATGTACACGTGTATTTAATTTTAAGTTTGAGTAATCTTGGCTGAAAGGTCGAGATATGTATATATCTCCTCAGGATTATGGATTAATAATGCACTTGCTCCAACAGACATCTGGAATCCACACTTCAATATATAGCCTATAAAACACTTCCATACGATAATAAAGTTCAATCATCTGCAAATAGGGAGATGTTAGAGAAAGATTACATGATTTTTCAAGATTCTGCAAACAGTTCTTGGCAGAAGCAGGAGGAGAAGCTCATTCCCTTAAATCCTGTTAGAATTCTGTGCTCTCCTGCCTTTATCCACATGTCACGGATCATTAAAATAGGGATCTTTGCAAAGAGATGAACAGTAAGGCCTGCAAAGTTGAATTTTAATGTGCTTTACATTTTGCATCATACTCAATGTATTTCATACAGTACCTAGGACGTTTAACTGATTGCAAAAAGCAAACCAGAGGAGCACTGCCAAAAGCCATCAGCCCCGGCCCCGGGCTTGGGTACCCTTTGATGTTCCCTTTTTTGGGGGGTGTGGAGGGGAGGTAAAGGATGTCACTTCAGAGAGGAGCCACGCTGTGGAACCTGGAGGCTGTTCAAAACCTGCACTCTGACCCTGCTATTGCAATCAGATGGTCCCAATATTTGCTCATCATCAAGTTAGAGTAGCTGTGAGTGGGTGTTGTAGAAATGAGACCCACCGATACTTTTAGGAATTGCAGCATCTCCATCCTGCAGACTTTTTGTAGCAGCAGCTACTTCAGAGCGTTTTTACCTAGTTTTTCAGGGGATTTCTAACTACCTGTTCTACATGCTTATTACAAAGGCAATTTTGCTTTATTTAAGACATATTTAACACCCTCTATAATCCATTATAGGTTTTATGGCCGGTTCTCACCAGACACGTGGGTGCAGTGCTGGGAGCGGTGCCGGGGCGCAGTTACCGCCGAGCCGCACGTGCGGCAGAGACACAGAGCGAAGCCACCACCACAATAACCCCAGGTCTGCATATTATAAGATTATTTTCAAATGTTTGCCACATTCACTCGCCACTCTTTACCCCGGCTTTACGCCGTTGGGGCCGGACACCGGCGCGGAGCCCAAATTCTCCCCGGTTAAGCGGAACCGCTCAACTCTTGGGGCACGTCCCGGGCGCTGCGGTACCAACCCCGGGACCATCCGCGCCTTTGTGGGGCCCCGTCCCCGTCCCCCCGCGGCCGCTCAGCGCCTGCGTGCCGAGCACTCGTGACCGAGCCCTGCACGGCAGGGCCGGCGGCCAGACCAGGGCTGGTACCGCCCCGGTACCCCGGGCATTCCCTTCATATTCCAGCCAGCCTAGCGCCGGTACCGCCCCGGTACCCCGGGCATTCCCCCCATCCCGGCCAGCCCAGCGCCGGTACAGCCCCGGTGCCTCGGGCATTCCCCCCATCCCGGCCAGCCCAGCGCCGGTACCGCCCCTGTCCCCCGCCAGCCCTGAGTCGGTACCGCCCCGGTACCTCGGCCAGCCCCCCATCCCAGCGAGCCCCCCGCCGGTCCTGTGCGGTGCCCCCGGCCATCAAACCCCGCAGCGCCGGTACCGAGCCGTGTCCCCGGTCCGCCCCCCCGTCACCCCCCCGGCCCCGCCGCTGTTTACGTTCCGGGCACTGCGACGCCTGCGCCCCCGCTCCGCACGCAGCGCCTGAACATGGTTCCTTAGGACTTTGCAAAAGGCATCGCCGCCGCCCCCCTCCCCTTCCCTCCCCCTCCTCCCCCCCCCGAAAAAAAAAAAAGTGCTGGTGCAAAATTGCAAAACTTTAGCGAGCCCTGGATGGCTTTTGTTTTGCCTCCTCCCCATTTGGGCCAAAAATGCAGGACAGGAACTGTTGACAAATAAGTGATGAAACTCTCAAAAAAAATGGAGGCAAAGAAAGACTCTGGAAGAAGATTGGTGTGTAGCTGGCTTCGGTCTCTTTCCTATTCGTGCCTTTTAATTGATTTTGCTTAATTGTTTGCAAAGGGAGCAATGCATGCGGGACGTAGGCAGCGGAGCGACTTTAGTTTGCAAGCGCGCGGCTGAGGCAGCGGGGAAGGGGCGGAATGGAACCGAGGGAAGGGCAGGGTGGGACGATCACGGATTATTATTTTTTTTTCCGGTGGGTGCGGGTTTGTGCTGATCCACCGCGCGTGTCCGCGGGGCTGTGCGGGGCGGGAGAGCTGCCGGGAGAGGGGGCAGAGCCGCCGGCGGCAGCCGGTGCACCGGGGTCCCCCCGCTCCAGCGGGGACCTACCTTGTGCGCGGCCGGTCCCCGCCGCCTCCAGCCGCGGCTCCGCGCCCGCCGCAGCTTCCCCGGGGCAGCGGCACCGGCCTCGGCCGGGCCTACCCCGCCATCCCCCGCATTGCACTCGCTGCAGTCCCTCGCCCGCGGACCCCCGCGCTCCCGGCGCTGTCGGGCGTGCGGGGCGGGGGGGGGGGGGGAGCGGGCGGGGGCTGCGCATCCATCGCGGCGTTACATAAAGCGATCTGGTTTTTAAATCGCCGCTTCCGGTGTGACTATGGAAACACTCGGATTATGTAAATACCGAAACCTGGATGCTGGGCATCATCAGATACGATGATTCGCCCCCCTTCCCTTCCCCGGGGAATTAGCTTGTGCTCACGTGCAAAAATAATAATCATAATAAAAATGATCCGGTTGCTAACGAGCGTTGGCCGCCGTTCACGGTTTTTTACGGGATTGCAAAACGCATCGGTGCTATAGCTTGTGAATTGTCGGCGAGTTACGTGTCCCCCGCTCGGCTTTCAGCGCCGGCCCCTGCTCAGCAGCCCAAGTTTGAGTTTTCCTGCAGCCAAGCACCTGTTATTCCTGCCGAGTTCCGTGTCACGAGATGGAAAAGGTTGTGCATGCAGCTGTGTTGGAGCTTGTTTGGGTTCAGGTTTTGTTCAGTTTGTGTCTTGCCATCTTAATTATTTCCCCCGGAATGTGTTTATCAAACCGTTTTGCACGATCCGTGCGCTTTCTTCGCTTTTTTTCTTTTCCGGACAATGTGTTTTATTTGGGGTTTCTGTATGTGTTTTCTAGCGCTGCATCGGCCGGAGGCGGTACGATGAAAACGAGGACCTCTCGGACGTGGAGGAAATCGTGAGCATCAGGAGTTTCAATTTGGAAGAGAAATTAAAGAGTAAAATGTACCACGGGGATTTCGTGCACGCCATGGACGGCAAAGGTAACTCAGCCGGGCCGGGGCCGCGCTCGCCACCGCCTCCACGTGCAGCTCCGCGCCGGCTTCGGATTTCGCGCCCGTGCCCCTGCCCGGGGATCCGGTGACGCCGCCGGCCCGAGGGGAAGCACGGGGAGGTTGCTGTGCCGGGCCCTGCTGCCCGCACCGCCCCGGGGGGGCTGCCCCGGCCCGTCCCCCCCGCACCCGGAGAGCGGCTTTAGCCCCGCCGCTGTGCCGGGATGAGCGCGGTGATCCATGGCAGCTCCCCCCGCCCTGCCCCGCCACCGTGACCCCAGCGCACCACCGGGATATTCAGGAATTAGGTCCTGGCACGGGAGAGGCCGAAACCCCAGCCCCCACTTAGCCGGAGGTGATTCCTGCTCCCCCTCCGCCCCCTCTTGAATCCAGGACCCCTTTTGCGAAAGGGTGCGACTGATGAGCCTGTTGGCCAGGCTCGGAGACTTTACAGTCAATAACTTCTTTGTGAGCCTATCATATATTAAATTACAACGCTGCCCTCCCCAAAGTGACTTGCTTTGCTGAGGTGACTTGAATTCCGGAGCGGTAAGCAGAGCCAGACAGCCCAGCTCTGCCGCACGGCTCCCTGGCAGGAAGGCGAACGGGAGAGGTTTGCCCGGGAATCAAACAGGCCCGGGGGGTTGCAGGTCACCTTTATTTACCGCTGCACTGTTGACACGGATCCCCATCCCAGATGGCTATCACTGAAACTCGGCCGGACTGAGGACGCCTGTCTGAGCTGCCTTTCTGAGGAAAGAGAAGTTTTGGCTGTAATCCTCCTGAAATTGCTCTGAGTGCGGAGCCACTAATTGAGTTTAGAAAATTTCCTTTTCTCCCCTAGGCTTAGTTTTCCATGAGCATTTTAAGCTCCTTTTAGAAAAGTTGATGCGGTGAAGAAATTAAATACCTATCTCACTTAGGAAGGTATTCGTTTAGGAGATAAGCTCAACCCTGACCTGCCTCTTCCTCTAAACAAAACACAAACACCTATTTTTTAGCTGGTAAATGTTAATTAATTTTCCAGAAAATGATTGCATTCTCCCCTCAGCTTCCAAACAGTCCAGTGGTTGCCATTGCTCCATGCTAAGGATAATACAATCCACAGCTTCCCTGGCTTGGCAGCTCCAAAATCTTTGAGCAGCTTTCTCCTTTCTAGGGAACTTGAAAATAAATGAGTGTCTTTTGTTATTTTGTTGTGGTCTGTGTCGGCTTTGTTCAACCCCACAAGGGATTTAAATGCTTTGTTGGGGCATTATGAAGAAAAGATCTGCCTTCCTATTTGCTCTGGTTTTATTTTTACTATTGGTTTAATTTTTTTTCTTTATAAATCCAAGGGCTGAATTGAATCTGGGCAAAACAATGACAGGGGTTGGTAAGAACAAAAAAGTCAGTTTGTATGAACACATGGAATTAGTTGAGCAATATATTTATTTATTTTTATTTCCCATGTCCTTGTTTTTATTTTTAATGATAACTCTTCTTGCAGTGGTGTGATTTTTGGCTTGAATGCAGTTTGTCATAGCTACTAGTCTGCAAGGCTATATAGCTGCCTCTGCTTCTTTCACCCATATTACTCCTGATGTTTGTTGACTTTCTGACTTGGGTCAGTGTTCATAAAAAATCTGTGGTTTATTTATTTGCTTACCTTAAGCCCTTAGTTTTAATGGGAATGCCTATGGGAAAGGAAGACTTCTCTAGTACAGAAATATTTACTTGGTAACCTTAGTTAAATGGAGTATTCATTACACTTATTTTGAGACTAGCAGCAATAAAGTGTCTGTAATTTTAATGTTTCTGTAAATGGATAATTACAGTGCTCTGATTTGGTAACTCTAAGTAGGAACATTATATCCCTACTTGTCATAATTACTAACTGAATACAGCAAAGAAAAAGTTGTACAAATAGAGGGAAGTACATGTGCAGGCGTGGGAGCTTGGCCTCAGGGTCCCCTTTTACTTTCAGTGTGGAGAAAGATCAGGGACACAGGCTTGGGCTGAGGTACTCCTGCTCTCCCAGGATCATGGATGGACATTGCTGGATGAATCTTGGAGTTAAATTGCTCCTGTGTACCCGAATATAATGCAGGGAGGGTCACTGGGTTTGGCAGTGCAGTGCATTTTGTAGTGCTGAAGAGTCAAGCAATATTTTCCATTTTAAGGCAGCGTATGGACATTCTATAAAAGTCATTTTTTCTTGTAAAAAAGGGGGAATAGCAGAGCCATAGAAACAGTACATGGCTGCTGTAGGAATTCCTCTGCTCTCTGTGGCAGAAGGCTCCAAATAGTGTGTGGGGTTTTGTAGGCACAGCTCACTGAAATCGCTGCCTTGTAACTTCCTCTCTAATCCCCAAATCACTGCTATTGTACCAGACAGTGCATAGAGAAACCCCCAGGAAAGGCCAGTCCTGCATAATCCTCGGAGTGAAGCAACAAGGTGATGCTGGCCAGGGTTAACGTGACAAATTTATGTTTGATTTTCAGTTTGATTGTGTGTTATACTGTGACTTCCTGACTTCCCACAGAAACTATTCATTTTTCACAGATTTACTAAGTGCCAGGAGCTGTATAAATTTTCTGTCAGCTCCTAAAGTTACATTTCTGATTAATTAAAAGAAAAGTTTATCTGTTGAAATTAGAAAAGAAATTACCTTTTCACAGAATCAAGGCTTTCTGTTAGAACCAGAAAATGCTCACAAAAAAACGTGTAGAAATGTACAGCTGAAAATATCTAAACTTACACATACACTTTAAACTACACATTTGCCCCAAAAGTACTAGACTGATTCGCAGTAAGTTAGTCAGGATTATCTTTTTAACTGTTAATTTGGTATTTCATTACAGCCTGGGTGTTTCAGCCCAGACCTTAATTGACAAACTGACTGGATTCTATTTTATGTGCATCAGTGAACAGGAAAAATAGGGAGCAGCTGGGAGAGCATTGTCTGTCAGGGGGTTTCCGGTTTAGACTAAAATATGCATTCTCTTTCTGTTTCTCTTTAGGTGATAGTGGAGTTCTTTGGTGAGAAAAGGGAAATGAGGAGCATTTGAGAAAATGTAACCTGAGGTGCCAATGCCATTGTAATTGATTTGGGACATTTTTTTAATTCGTTTTCACAGATTTTACTTTTGAGTACGTGCAAAGAGAAGCTCTCAGAGTTCCCCTCATCTTCAGAAATAAGGATGGACTGGGAATTAAGTAAGTTACAAGCAAATCTTGATGATTAATAAATGCTTTTATAAAATAACCATTATGCTTTCCACTTGTATCTGATATTTCTTTTGATGATCTCAAAATGGATTGCAATTAGTCTGACTGTCAGCACCCTCGAGAAGAGGAATGATTATTTTCCGCTTATAAACAAGCAGATAATGAGGTCTATAAAAGTTAAGTGCATCCAGTGTGGTACTGCACAAGCAAAAATAAGTCAGCAATGAAAGTTAGGAGTATAATCCAAAGGTTTCTGCACCCAATCCATGCTGTAATGACAGAACAAACTCCCTTCAATTTTTGACCTCTCAAGTGTTCTCTGCATTACAGGTGGAATGTCTAATGATGCCTGCCATTTTCCATTATAATCATGGCTCTTCAGAATGTTTCAGCTTTGTAAATATTTAATGATGTCTGGTTAAATGTGGGATTACTGGAGTCTTTTTGCGGTTGCATTTTGTTAATATCCAGTTCTAAAGGATTTGGTATTTTAATAAGAGAATCCTGCAAGTTTGTTTGTGAAAGTGACAGTGTCTAAGAGAGAAATATTAAAAGGATAAACTTTATCAGCCACGTGATCCATAGTTTAGATAAATGTTTCTTGATACTCCTGGAAATTAGGACTGTGTAACTGATTATAGCTGAAGAACAGAAAAATAATTTTTTGAAAGCATCATTACTTTGCTCAGTTTCAGCTGGAACACCTCACAGTTTAGGGGACCGAGGGGTCCCAATTACTAATTAAAAAGAATCAAGCCACCCCAATATAATTTAAAGAGAGAAAGAGAAGAAACAGTGTTTGGGGTATTTGACAACCACATGTCCCTTTACTATCAGAGCAAACAGGAGCTGCTGTGATGGCTCTGATGACAAAGTAAAATAGTTTTATATGTTGAACTCTGAATAAGAGGTGCTTAGAGGGCTCTCTGGGTATGCATTGGTTTTAAACTGCTGCTCCTAAAGGGCAAGTCATAAAATCTTGAAGAATTGTTCCTGAAGAAATCAGGAGCCAGAGGTGTTACTGCACCTTCCCAGCAGCCACATCCTCCTGTGTGTGAGGAAGTTGATGTGAAATTCCTCACAGCTCAAGAAGGAAACTGGGGAGATGTTTCAGCTCCTGCTGTGCCAACAGTACCAGTTCAGCTGTGCTCCAGCAGGGGAGAAGTGTGGAGGTGAGAGCTCATCCCAGACACAAACATTCCTGGGCTTCAGATCCGCAGCTGCAAATGGACGGGCGTTATCCGGGATGGAAAATCCGGGATGGAAAACCGGTATCCCAGCCTGTGTCAATGCTTCCTACGGCCACCTGTACCCATGGTGATGCCTCCAGGCCTCAGGCTGCCTGATGTGCTGCACAAGATCCTTCCCAAAGATGCCTCGTTTCTCCGTGTCCTGACCACTGGATGTCACATCCCTTTCTTCTTGATGCCCGTGATTCAGGATTCTATAATGAGGCAATTTTAATGAGACATTTCAACACTCAAATCTCAGCTCACACATCATCGTTGGCTTCCTTGTTGGTCCTGTGCCCAAAATCGGGAGAGCTGCCACTTGGCACTTCCCTCCACTTTGGGTTGGCCGTGTGCTTTCACTGGAGACTCCTGGTGGAATGCTGCCTGTGGAGAGGGCTCTTTGGTCTCTCTTGGTCCAGGGGTTCAGAGACTCCTCAAGGAACAGGATCATTTAAAGAGGAACCTGGATTTTGTGTCATGTGTTGGCTTGTTTTCTTCAAGATGGGTAACCACGCCTCAAAGAGACCTTTGAAAATCAGGTGCCTTGCTTTGTCAGCATTATCAAAGCAGCCAAATTAACAGCAGTTCTGGAACATGTATTGGAAGTGATGAAGTAGCAGGACTGAGTGCTGCATGCCTTTGTCTTCAGCTGGAGTTGTGCAGCTCTGGCAGTTCAGGTGCTGCATCTTCTGAGTTCTGAACTGGATTGGGAAGAGGGGGAAGAGTTTTGGAGTCACCTGCTGCTCTGTCACACACCCACACTTTGGACAGCGAAGGAAAAATATGTGTTCCAGTTTGCTGTGATGAGTTTAAAATAGTCTCAGCAGCCAGGCTTGACCAGCCAGCTTTTCAGATCCCCACCAACTGCTGATATCACTTAATAACTCTAATACCATCCTGACATCTCTCCTCCTTCCTAGGGCTGTTTCCCTTTCTCCCTTTTGTGAACCATCCACACACACATCATGTGCAATTTCTTTCTCTAGATGGAATTCATGGTCAGAGAAGAGCTTTTTTTTTCTTTTGAGGATATTTTTGCTGAATTAGTGTGCTGAGAAAAATAAGAGCAAGTTATCTGATACGTGAGTTTTGGATGGTTTTTGCATGGAATCAGTTGAATTCTCCCTTTCACAGTTAGTTGGGTGAATTGTTTTTACATTTCCATTCTCTGCTGAATCACTGAATACTGACTGCTTTGGGGAATTAAGTACTAGAATTTGTAGATCAGTAATCTCTTATAGGACACTCAACATTCCTGTATTTTTATTTAAATGAGCGTGACTTATTAATTTGAAATGATGTTGTAAAGGAATTGCACACACTTGGGCATAAGTGCCAGTACAGTGAGAGAAGGTTGGAAACACAGTTTATGTGTATTTTTAATGACAGAAGTGAAATGCATGAGCAAACTTTCCTATTTGGCACTCTGCAGATAACGTGATTTAATTTTATTTACATTTCCACTTCTTATATGTATCTATCAAAAGTTGCTGGCGTGCAGTGCATGAGGTTTGGGGATGTGTAGGTACCAAAATGCTGTGTGCACTGTACTCCAGCAAGATGGAAATAGGATTGGCAGCTGCCTAACTGATCCAAAATGGGAGGAACCTTCAGTGTCTGGGTCGTTTCTGGCACCACTGTCTCTTGTCCTGAGCAGGCTCTGTGCATCATGATATAGCAGACTATGTGATCCACACCTGTAGGGTGACTTTTGAGATACAGTGGTCTACAAAATATATGATGTAAGATGATTTTTTGAATAACTGCTGAGAAATGCTTCCACTTGTGCTTGCTGCTAAGCAGTCAGCTTGCATGCCTGTGCCTGGCAGATGCACAACACAGAGCTGAACAGTTTGGTTACTGTGCTTGGAGGAACTCTGAAATGGCAAGGAACAAGAGGAATGAGGAAAAACCATTAAAATGAAACTGAAAATTGCTTTCCTCTGTATCTCTGACCATCATGAGCTGCTACTCCTATGGCTGGAATCAGGAAAGCCCACCTGTGATCTCTCAGCAGAATGGAAGCTGTTTTTCTTGGAGGGCTGTTTGACTGTTTCCAGGATTGTAACTGGGAGAGGGAATGCTGTTTGGAGAGATGTTGTCTCTTATCTGAGCAATGGTCATCTTGCATTGTAATGTGGTTGATCACATACCTGTGCTGGCCAGAGCTCATCCTCATTAGCTTTTGAATAGATTCTCTAGCACATCTTTAAAGTTTACTAAAAGGCACCCAGAGCACACTGAGGTGTTTGCATTTCTTTTCCCTTTAAGGCAACAGGCGACATGACTTGTGTATTACAGCTGAAAACCTCAAATGTAGGCAGTCATATTTTGGAGTTCAGTCACCCCACTATACCATTATTCACTTATTTTTGATATTTGAAATCTTTAGAAGCATTCGTAGTGGTTTTACACAGGATGCATTGTCTGAAAACTGCATGAGAGCAACGAAAAAAATACTTCTGGGCTGTTCTTGCATTGTTGCTGTTCTGGGTTCATATGCAGAAAAACAAACCAACCAACACTGAGTGGTATAGGACTGGTGACATCCAAGAAAACAATATTGGGTTTTTTTGCTATCCTAGTGCTGTAGCAAACCAGCCCTGATTGTATATGAGTGAGTGTATAGGATTGTACAGGAGTTGTGTGGTGGGGCTGGAGCTGAGGAAATACAGTCACCTAAGGCAGCAGAATGGGTTGGAATTAAAGCTGGACCAACCCAACTACAAAATGGGTTCTTGTACTTGAAACCTGCTGTTTTCAACCTGAAATTATTCTCTCTGTGTTCTCCTTCTTGTGTCACACAACCTGAGATTGCAGAGAAAAAACCCCAAGGATTTGCCAGGTGTACTCTCCAAAGAGCTAAACATGCAATTCCATTGCCAGGGAGGGTTGTATTCTTCCAGTCTGAGTAATGTTTATTGTCAGCTGCTGCTGCAGCTCTTAAAAAGGCTGGAATTGCTCGTATCCATCTGGGTTAGGATTGTTCTCTATCTTGGTGGTTGATTTTTATTTTGATTTATAGAAATGTGAAAAGATTGCCCATCTAATTGTTCTACATTTCTGACACGAAATACAGGTAAGCTGTGCATTTGCAGACAAACCTGGCATGTTCTTGTTGCCCGCAAATAGTTCCTCCTTCCCCTATTTCTGACTTTCTAGTGCTTGGAAAAAAAAGATGAGCTCTGAGTGAACCCTGAAGGTCAGTAGATTCAGGCTGTTTCATTCCGCAGAGGGAGTGAATTCCAAAGCTGTGGGGCCCTCACAGCTAAATGCAAAGATGTGAGGGTTGGCAGAGAACTAACAAAAGATATTGTCCAGCCTCTGCATCCCACCAGAGAAAGGTGATAAGGGTAAAAGAAAGTGGACAAGCAGAATTTGGCAAGTAGTTCTCAAGATATGTGCATGCCAACAAATACATTTTTTAACTTTACCTATTAGTGTTTTCTTAATAGTAAAAAATACTGCTCTGAACGTTTGCCCATGGGCTGGATTGTTCTGATTTCTAACTAAATTGTGTCAGAAGTCCAGAAACAAGTTGTTTATCTTCAACCTGGGGCAGTACAAGAGGGGCAGAGCACTGAGCTGGCAGGTCTCACTGGGCTGTTTTTCATTCCAGTTCCTTAGTCAGCTTTTGTGCAATGTGGAAATATTGTCAGTAAGATGAAGTCAATCAGCTTTAAAACCCCGCTACTGTTTTTGTTTTCTTTTTCTATCCAGTCTATGTGCTACAGAATTTTACTCTCTCTTTATACATAAAACTTGCTCACTTGCTGTACCAGGCTACTGTCTAATTACATTAAACCCTAAAACGTTGCCTGTGTTAGGAGTGATCCTATAAATGCATCGACATCCCAGAACCAATTATGCTACCATTTAATTTAGCTCTGAATTAGCCCAAATTGAATTGAACAATTTTCCAACCCACCAAATAACAGCCAGGTTGTCTTCTGCCAGATAAGGAGGTTGGATTAGTCAGTAAAACAAAGAGGCTTTAATTAATCATTTTTTAATATTTTATTTCCAAGCAATGATGGTGTGACTTTGAACAGATTGTTTTACTGCTCTGTCCCTCGGTTTGGCAAGTGTGATAATGTTCACCTTCGGGAATACACAGGAGGCACTACCAGTTGCAAACCCCCAGGAGTTGCTTAGAACAAGCTACAAAGGTCTAGGATTTTATTGAAATCACCCTCAACCCCTTCCCTCCCACTCTAGTGCTGATAAGAAGTGCTCGAAAAGACACCTTTTCTTCCATTGTGAATAGAGAAACTGTTGTACACTTGCCAAGGCAAAGATGTCATGTGTGTCTTTAGAATTTGCACTGTCCACACTTCAGAGAGGCCTTGCTTGATTCCACCTCCTGCACTAGGGACAAAGAGCACTATACATTTATTTCTCTTTTATTATGGTAACCAAAGTGTACCCATACTTATCTTGACAGTATTTAACGTTGCTTTCTTTGCTAATTACAGAATGCCTGACCCGGATTTCACTGTCAGAGATGTGAAGCTATTAGTGGGTAAGTTATTTTGAATGCACTGGATTAGCTCTATACAGAACAGAATTGCTTTGAAATACTTGTCCAGTTGTGTTTGTAGACATTTGTGGTAACTCTCAGAATCTGGGAGAAGGCAATGGAGAGGCAATTTGTAAATTAAAAAGGCTGGGAGAACCCTAATTAGTAGTTGTGCTGACCGGACTCCGATCTCATGCTGGATAATTGGCCATTTGGAAGGGAGAGAATGCTTTTGCCCTTAACAGGTGTTCTACACACACTTTTGTGATCCTGGAAAGCAGCAGCTCTATTGATCGAGTTCCTATTTTTTTTTTTTAATCTGTTGTAGAGCATCTGTTTGTGAAAGGTGTGATTGGAGCCGTATCACCTCTTGCCTGTGCTCTCCCCACAGTATTTATCAGTGTCAGGCCAGGTCAGTGCTTTGAGGGAAGGTTGTGAAGAGAGGCTGAGCACAAACCCTTGCAAACTGCCTGGCTTTTGATAAGACACAAACCAGAGAAGTGGTGACTGTCATCATCAAATGTTTCCTAGCAATCTTTGCAAAGTAAATGTTTTTTAACTCTAAGAAAAGCTACATTTTGAGTAGGAGATTATACTGTGTGTTTCTTTGAAATCTGCTTTTATTGCAGATGGGTGTGTTATTTATTGTTATCTGAAATTGTAACTGAATAGTGATCCTGCTCTCCATGGAACAAGCTGGGTGTTGGTTGTGTTGGCTGCAGTCCTTCATGAAGACTTTCAGCTGCATTCCTGCTAGTTAGAATTTACTGGGTTTATTTACCTGTATTGTGGCAGGAATTAATCTTTTAAATTAGCTCAAGTGCTGCATTCTGAAAGGCCAGTTTTTAAAGACATTATTCCTTGAGTTTAATGATCAATAGGAACATCAAGTCTGGAAAAGATGTAGCTAAGAAAAACAAAGGAGAGGAACTCGTGCCTCATTTCTGCTCACTTGAGGTTATCAGTGAGAGAAGGGGTTATCTCTGATAACCTTCCTTTACAAACAGAACTCAGCAATGTTGTTTAATTTATGACCATTTATAAATTCAGGAAAAAAGCCTCAAATCTCTGACAGAAAATGTTAGGGAAGTGGTGTGGGAAGTGATATTTGGTAACATTTCTCTTGGTCAGTCTGAGTATTTGAAGTCCTAAATGTTATGGATTTCCTAAATACCTGCCTGTGACATTTGTAGGCACAGAATCTCTCTCTTTGCTGCAGAGGAGCCTCGTGCAGAAACCTTGTAGTCACCTGGACCTGTTTGCAGTTTGCTGTGAATTTGTTCCATGGCTGACAAACTCCATTTCTGTCTCTGAAGCTGAAGCTGAGGGTCTGACGTTGAGATGTTTTGGAACAGCGTAGTGTTGCATAACAACATTGTTTTTCCTGTATAACAGTCAAAGTGTGGGAGTTGCATTTCCTCAAGATTGATGTCCTTTGAAGTATTAGGGGGTGGAGATTCCTGTGTACATGGTGAGCAAAGCGGGAGGATATTTATAAATAAAATCACCTTTATAAAACAATGGAGCAGAAATAACATTTGTAATTAACCTGGAGATTAAGTTTAATGTAAAAGTGTGCAGTTCCTCACAGCTGGACCTGCAATCCCTGGATGTGCTCTTGGCCAGATACCACATCATGGGTCTTTTTTTATCATGTTTGGGCAAACTCCCTTTGGAGTCATTGTCCTGAGCCCGTACCGTGGTCAAGAACATTGTCACCTGCTCTTTTTGTAATACAGTTGATGACTTTTGGCACCATAGGTGGAAAATTTGATTCAAAAGATCTAAAATATTTGGGAAATGGCCTGTAAATTCTACTGAAAAATCACAGGTTTTATGGCAAATCGTTTTTGTGGCTGTGGAATTTGTGCTGGATGGAACAGCCCCACTGACACTGAGAGCACATGGGGGCAGTTCCTGTCTCCAGGCCAGGTTTCTAAATTATCTACTAATGACCTCAGGAAACACCAGTGAGCAATTTTTCTGTTGCATATCATTGGTGATAATTTTTTTCTAGTTTTAGGTTAACACATGTGTTACACTCACAGTCTAACGCTCAGATAAAGCAGATGAAAGGTCTTGATTTATTAATATCTCCTCTCACTGGAGATGTTAATATGTCATCGTCCCTGCATTTTTTTAGCAGACCCCTCTGATATCCTGAACATCCAGGTTTGTGTTTCTGACATGTGGTATTTTCAAAACTTATTCAATCCTTTGATGAACCTTGGAGGGGATGGATGTTTGGGAATGTGAAATGGAATGATCATAACTCTGCATCTGATTGTGTGTGGGAGTCGACAGAGAGAGAACATGGCTTGAAAAATGTTGTGTTCTCTGTAAACTTGTTGGGTTTTTAAGTGCTCATCATTGTAGTGTGCTGGTGCTATTTAAGCCTATCATTTGTTCTCTTTTCTCCTCTGAATCAGGGGAAACACATTAGTTACAGAACACTTTAAAGAGATGATGCTGGGTTTTTCCAAAGCACATAAATTCCATGGGAAGTTACTGAGCCTTTGGTCTCTGAAATCCTACTTTCTATTTCTAACATGACTGTTGTACCATCTCCAGAGTGGAGTACCTGTAAGTCACAGGGAAGTAACAATGAGCTTTTAAATCTCCCTTTGAAAACTCAGGTCTGTGGCAATAATAAGGAGCAAAAAAAGAGATGAGTTTTTTGATCACTGTTTGTGTTTACTTGAGCTTAGGTGTCTCTTCTTTAGTGTTTTGTCAGACTACCAACTAAACGTTGCCATTGCTTTATGGAATTTTTTTGTTTTCCTTGTTTAAAAAAATGCAGCTACCAGCTGTAATTTAGTGGGTGATGTTCATGACCTCCTGTTTCTGATTGCACCTTAGTGTGCCCAGCTGTGCACCCATGTGTGTATCAAACACTCTATCCTACAGCAGCTTTAGACCCATCCCTTTAGACTGCACAGTTGGGATAATGGTTATAACCAGACTCCACCTCCACACGAACGATATCCTGGATGCTCTTTAAAACCTGAGACGATGGATTAATTTCAGCAGTTGGAAATTGTCTGAGCTCTGAAATGGCTGTGAGCCAAGAATACAAATGGAGAAGTGGAGAGGAATTCCTGGCCTGCTTAGGAACTTGAGACAACTCTTGAAAGAAGCAAAACTCTGTTGTAATTTAATAACTCTTAAGCTTTCTCATTTCCTTGTGTAAGGTAGATTTGACTGCCAGCTCTGAAGGGCAGAATGTCACTGTCATCTCTTCATAAGCTGATTTAAAATTTGATTGAGGGTCGTTGGCCCTCTTAAAGTATCCTTAAACATCTGCCACATCTGCAGTAAAAGTTTGGTAAGTGTTATTTCTGCAGGGGTGTTGTACCTGTGTGAATGTTTTGTGCCCACTGCTCTGCAGAATAAGTGAAGTAACTTGCCCAGGGCTGAGCAAGGAGAAAAGTGCCTGCCTTGCTCAGCAGGCTGCTGCCAACCAGGGCTCCCATGGTCCCTGTGCATCATCTCCAGCCTTTGCCACTCCTGAATTCAAGGACCAAATGCAATCATTTGCTTCAGTTTTTGATGTCAGAAAGCCAAAGCTTCCATTTTGTCATTTGTTTGATTTTTGTCTTTATATTATCCTTCACGGACATCACATAATCTGAAGACATAGCAGTAGTACTACATTGAGTAGTTTTGGGAGCTGTGAACCAAGTAAAGGAGAAAGAGAGGGAGCATACATGGATGTGTGCCTTAGTCTGGCAGTCTGAGCTCCTTTTTCTTTCTTTGATTACTTTTTTTATTGGATTTTTTTTTAGTAGTTTGCTTGGGTTGGTACTGATTGAATTTAGAAGCACATCTGCTTTTTGTGGCGTCTGCAGTGCCTGTGACTGGCCTGCACTGCCTTTGTCTCCCTGGGTTGTCACAGTCTGCCCAGTGCAGTCCCTGCACAAGCACAGTGTCTCTCTCTAAACAGTAATGGCCAGTTTGGATGTATTTGCTTTTATTTTTAATTTGTAGCTGACCTCTCTTCAATTTACTTGCCAGTCTATGGCTATTGACCAATTTTTGCACTCATATCCAAATAAACAAATCAAAGTGGTGCTGCTGATGTGTGATGTGCATCACCTCCTCCCTCTCTGGGCTGGTGTAGCTTTGTGTGCCAGGGTAGGTATTTATTGTACATCCCCACAGTGGAGCTTCCAACCCCAGCGAGTGGCAAAAGGGGAGATTTCAAACATGCTGAGGATTGTAAGAAAGAAAAGAGACTTTGGGTTATTGTGATCCCTGGGCTGAAGAGGTTAAAGTTGTGACCATGGCGGTCACTTCTGTAGGATCAGCAGCATTGTCCCATGGAATTCACCGTGCCCAGCCAGGCATTGTATCAGTGGGAACAGTGCAAGTACAGGACTTAGACTATTCATGGGGTGGTCTAACAACTGACATCAACTCACTGACTGATTTTATTTAACCAACTCACTAAGGGTTTATTTATAGAATTCAAAAAATAAGTGTAGGAGCAGTGAGGAATGTATCATCTGTCATGGAATTTGCCATTATAATCTGATGCTGCAGACTGGACTGGGCCATGATGCTTACTTGGGTAGGAAATGATTGGTTCCCTTCATTTAGTTGCTGTGTTCACAAACTGTGTTGAAAGGCTTTGGCGTTTCTTGTACAAAGAATCCAAGTAAAGTTGAAAGCAGCAAAGCTTTTAATTGTGCTAAAATGTGTGCATTGAGGTATGGAAATAAAAAGCAAACACGACCAAGCTCCAGTAACTCTTGCAGAGAGCAATCTTTATCTGGCCCAAGAAGATGATGCATGAGATGGGACCCAATAGATCATTTCAATATTTGATTTCTGTGATTCTGTCAAATCTTTAAAGACCTGGCAGCAGGCTTTGATCTCCAAGACAAAGGGTGAAAGGAAAACCCAGGCTCTACATATCCTGTTGCTTTCTTCGGTGGGAGTAGCTGAGGAGATACTTGATTATTGCTGGGGTTTGCCTTCTTGTGAGAAACACCAAAAGAACA